TATGCTGCTACAATTATCTGCCCTTAGAAGTGAGATAGAAATTATTATTTCCAGTTTATTATACAATTTGTAATAGACTACAATATCCTAAGCATTATCTTATACCAAGAATAGGTAATTGAATTCATGATTTCCATTAATTTTCGCAATGTAAATAAACAACGATTTTCTGTTCACTCATAGTCCATTGTCTTTGAAAATTTTACCTGCCGAATTAAGGCGCGTACTATGTGTTGCATCTTCATATTATATATAAGGGTTGATCCAAAAGTAATGTCACAACTTCGATAGAATTGCTAAAAGTCGACGTAAATCAACAAAGTTATACATGATCAAAGCTATATTCATTACAAATCAGTCCTGAAAAATTCAAATTAAACGATTTATAGTTTAAAAATATCGAAGTATATACAAAGTGCAATTATTATGGTAGTCGCCGCACCTAAATAACGTCATATGACGGATATATACGTGCCGTCATACACTTAAACGCTTTCCTTTCATGTCATTAAAAATATTTGAAATTCACGAACACATTCACATATTTCACTTTTATAAAAGAATTATTGGCACATATTGTACACTCAACCTATGTATATATTTTAGTCCTCTGTAAAAATGCTTTGAACAGTACCATAAGACAAACTTTCTGATATCAAAGTTTCTAATAGAACTCTCTTTTTTTACAACGTCAGACATAAATGAACGTTTCCGCCCGACCTCCTTTTTTCGGCCTTCCTGTCCTTTACCGATCATTCTTGACCTGCCAAAAATCGCTGAAATCATCTATAAACAAGTCTCTTATTCATATTTTTACCTCTGTGATTGTAACTGCCTTAACTGGCGATTTCCCCATTTGAAGCACACGTGCTCGTTTCAGCGGGTTTTGTTTGTTTTTTTCATTTTGACAATTCCTTTTTTAATACATCAGATTATAACAACAATGTATGTTTATGATCAAAAAGCAATAACGTCATTTTATTTTCAACTAAAGACTAGAAAATGACATAAAATTTTGTCTTTTAAAATATTTGGCGATTAGAAGCTTTTTTAGATGCTTTTTAATGTATTTGTCTTTTTTTCATTCTAGCAATATGCACTTAAAACGTGACGTTTAGTTGTGACGCGGCGACACCCATTATGTGAAATGTTTTAAACGTCTATGAAATTAATTTAATTTAACCTTATTATATGAAATTTTCAAATTTGATTAAATTCATTTTTATGCATCATTTAATATATTATATTTGAAAATATGTCGTCAAATATCAAAGATATGGACACAGTGACATTACTTTTGGATCAACCCTTGCATTTTTTTCTCCTAGTCCAAAACGCACTTTTTGTTAGTGTTTAGAGCATCCTTAAATATCGTTGTGTTTTGTAAAGAATGATAACTCTCGTGAGTTTCTATAAATCATAGAATGTTTGTTGTGAAGAAGAAAGTAATCTCTTTTCAACTTCATTCTTTGCAATAGAAATAATAATAGGGCAAAAAATAATGGCATTCGCTTCAAGATTCTTCAACAGCTGTTCCAGCAAAATACTATGGTTTCATCAATTTTCGTTACCATCAATTTTCGTGAATTTTGTAAAACAGACGTTTTCGAGGATGACCACGACGTGGAAGCAGCATGGAACACACACTTCGTAATACAGTGTGCAATACAGCCTTCGAGTGTCTTCGGCCCTCCACCAAAAATCACAAAGACTGGTTTGATGAGAATCGTGCCGAGATCACGTAGCTTCTAAAGGACAAACATCGCGATTACAAGGCTCATATAGATGATCCCTTCTCCACAGCCAAAAAGACGCTCTGAGGAACGCTCGCAGCATAGTACAGCAAAAGCTTCGGGATATGCAGGACTCCTGGCTTAATACCAAAGCTGACGAGATCCAACGCTACGCTGAATCTCATGACAGGAAGAAATTTTACTGTGAACTTAGGGAAGTCTACGGGCCAACTCCATCAGACTCATCCCTCTCCTCAGTGATGACGGGTTAACACTCATCACAGAGAAGGAAAAGACACTCGACAGGTGGGAGGAGCATTTCAAGGGCGTTCTGAATTGTCCTTTTACCATTAACGACGAGATTTATAAAGAAGGGGTGTGGCTCTAGTCAAAAAACTCCATCATCTGGTTGTGCGAGGATCGGCCTGACCAGACACCTCTGAATCAAGCGTCCATGTCAGCCCCCTCCCCCACGAAGATGAGACAGTGGTCATCGTCGTCACCGACGGATGAATAACTAAACTAGTACATGTTAGTTGGTACTTATCTTTTTCCTTATAAAAAAATAAAAGGTACATGTAATTGTTAAATAAAAGTGGTAAAAATATGCAATTTTAGTTAGAATCACGGCTAATAACACAGTTAATGCTCTTTTAATATGTTCATCATATCTCTCAAAAATTCTGGTAGAACTTTCTATCACGATTGGCAACTGTGTGACAAATACTTTACAGGTTGCAAATATACCGTATAACGGGTATTTTTTACGAGCTGCTAATTTTTACTAACTTTTACGAGTTTTATAAATCCGTAAAAATTAAACACGTAAAATTTTACATTGTAAACAGCTCGTGTAAATTCTCAACATCGTATGCATAAAAGTAATGCTAATTGCCATTAAGCTCACTCCCTGGAGGCTATATGGTTACTGTACATTTGGTATTTTGAGCACTTTTAAGTCGATCATTAATTGGGATCATACAGGTAAATCTCAATTAACTTATATAAATTGTACAAACATCGTCTATTAATTATTCAGCTAGACCTACATGGTTACTCTTTTTTTAATATTTTTACGAGACGCATTTAACTTCTGATAATGACTTAATAATTACAGGTCTTCCAATTATACCCATGTTTTCAATCTTTGACACTTTCTTCTGTTTCATTTGCTTTGAATAAAACTTCGACTTCTTCATACACTGTACATGTATACTTTCAATTCAAATCATGATAGATTGAGTTATCTCTCTTTGTTTTCGGTAAATATCAGAAGAGCACGTGGTGTGCCTAGCTATGTGTTTTATAAAACATCATAAATAAATGAAGGGTACATTGTTCATGTATATAAAGGTAGAGTCTAAATGATAAAAAAAAATACATAATGTTATTTGTTGCATTGTTTATATTGTTATAATTAAATATCTCTCTCTCCCTCTCTCTCTCTCTCTCTCTCTCTCTCTCTCTCTCTCTCTCTCTTTGACATCGGGGTTTCGGACACATTATTTGTACGTAAACGCATTCAAAGTGCTTACAATCAGTAATCTGGATTTTTACATCTGATGATTTTGATTTTTATGGACATGTTCAATTCGTAAAAATTTAACGCGTAAAAATTTAAATCACCCTTTTTGGACCAAAAATCGTAAAAATTTACAGCAGTAAAAATTACCCGTTTTACAGTATTTTGCTCAAAATACCTAATTTGAGCACATAAAGGGCAATAACCCTGTCTCCAGCATTAAAACCACATTAGATTTGATGCTATCATACATTTTCTCACTAGTTAGGGGTATACCTTACCAAATATCACTATTAAGTTTATTCACCCAAAATGGTACCGACCACCCCCAGTGGCTCATGAAGTATATGGTACAGTTGTACTTCTGACATAGAGGCCTTGAAATTCACAATTCTGAAGAAACTCCCTAGCTCATAATAACTATATAGGTAGTTCATCTGTGTAATACCAACGAGCACAGATGATTTTTAAAGAATATATGCAAATCACTACTTTTATATTATTTATATCATCTAGCCCTAACAGCAGAACCCCTGACTCTGGGGCCATGAAATTCACAATTTAAGAGGAGACACTCTTGCTCAGCAAAGCTATGTATGAAGTTAGGTTGTTTATTACTCAGGAGCAGAGCAAAGGATTTTCACAGAATTAATGAATTTTCACAACATTATCAATAGAGCTCCGCCTTAGTAAGAATAGAACCCCTAAGTACGTAATTTGTTAGTTTAATAAACAGGAGCAGAAGAAAGAAAACTTTCAAAGAATTACAATAGTAATGCATTTTCGCTATATAATCAATAGAGCCCCATCCTTTCACCAAAACCCATGACCAACGGGCCATGAAATTCTCAAATTTGGAAGAAGCATCCTTCCTCACTATAACTATACATTAGGTTTGTTAATTACTCAGGAGAGAGAAGACAGTTTTCAAACAATTAAGGCATTTTAGATATATAATCTATATAACCCCGCCCTAACACCAGAACCCCTGACCTGGGGCCATTGGGGCCATGAATTTCACAACATTGGTAGACGACTCAATGCTTATTACAATCATGCCAACAGTTTGACGGCTTGATGTCCAGGAGTAAAGAACGTTTTAAAATTTGCATTAATTTTGGTAGGTTTGGCTACAAAGTCTAGGCCTAAGAGGGACAGGGATCATGAAATTCAAAATTTTTGTTTCCCTTCTGCAATAGAGGCTTTTTCCAAATTTGATTGAAATTAGTCATAGCGGTTGCAGAGAAGAAGCTGAAAATGTTAATGAAAATGTTAATGCACAATGCACGACGCCGGACTAGAACAGATAGCAATAGGTCAAGTGAGTTTACTCTGGTGACTTTATAAAAGAAAGAATGTTTCACAATGACACTTTCGGTGACAAATGCCAGTTTCCATTCTCCCTGATTTTCCAATACCATATGAAATTAGTAATTTCAAATTACAGATCTGCAGAAAAATACAAGATTTTAGTTTTAGGTCTTTTGTTTTCTTCAAACATGTTTTCGTGGCACACTGGCATCTGTTGATGTACAAGTTGAAATTGGGTACTGTATATATAAATGTTTTAGATGGAGGCTTCGAATCTAGGGTTTAGTATATATCCCGGCGTACGACCGCGTGTATGTAGCAAAGGAGGAGTCATGGCTATTAGACTATTGCCTTATAAATCAAGCCTCGATTGTCAACAGCCAAACATTTTAACACATTGCTTCAAAAAAAAAAAAAATGAATAAACACTGTGAAACATTGTAGAATTTTATTTGAAAAATTATTAAGTCAGTTGCAGTCCACTAGTTCACGTTAAGGAACACAACCATGAAGTTCAAACTTCAGACACGGATGACCTTTGTAGGACTTGGGATGGAGTCTCACAAACCGACACGTGACAGGATCAGGAAGAGGCTGGGTTAATGCCCCGATAGCACTGGAAAATACCTTGAAGCGATACGAAAGAAAATATATTTGATATTTTATTATCATAAAAAAGAAATTATATCATATGTCTCTAACGTATTATATTAGAGTTATTAGTCATTATGAGATATTTAAAATACGTAATATAATATTTTTTTCATTAAATGTGGTACAATTTAAACATTTGTTAACTTAACATTAACGATTGGACGTAACTTTTTTGTCAAATTTTAATTTTTTTATGTTTTCATTCGCACAAAATTGAGAAGATCAATTTTCGTTGACCGCGCTCGTCAAATCAAAATGTTCCTTCACCAAGAGAAAGGCATAAGAAGGGTCACAGGTTTTTCAGATTAGACCTAAAAAAAAAACCCAGAGGTCTCTTTTCACTAAAAAAGTAGGCATGGTAAAGAACCCTCACTGCTAAATGGTAATGAGTATGATTGATTGATTGATTGTTTAACATCCCTCTCGAGAATTTTTCACTCATATGGAGACGTCACCGTATGCTGGTGAAGGGCTTCAAATTTAGACCTATACTCGGCACTCAGCATTGAGGGTTCTTTATCGTGCCAGCGCCTATCATGACACAGGACCTATGTTTTTAAGATCATATCCGAAAGACCCGTGACTTTCACTTCTGATGCCGAGCGCTTGGCGAAGGAACAGTCACTACCTATGTTTACGTCTTACGTTTGATGCGGCGCCGCTAACGAGAATCAAACCCGGGCCTCCCGATCACGAAGCGATCGCTCTACCATTAGGCTACCGTGAACGGTCTGATGAGTATAGAGTAAAGGTCTAAATTCCTTCACTGGCATACTGTTTCTTGTGAATATGAGTGAAAAATCTCGAATGGGACATTAAGCAACTTACTATCAATCAATCATTAATCAATTATCTATTGTACATTATCCCCTTTTATGTTTAAGCAATGCAATTTATTACTGTATAAATAAAGGTTCGAAATAATGACGACAAATTCATTGTAAAGTCATTTTCTAAGTGGTTGACCGTCATGGTACCTCAATCAGTAGAGTGCTCACTCCGTGATCTGAAGGTCGAATGACTGAATCTCGGACGCGACTGATCGGGAAAAAAGGGGGCAACTGTTTCTTCGCCGAGCGCTGGGCACTTTAAGTGAAAGTTGTCGATCTTTAGGGATTGTAAAGAGCCTTTAAACCCGATGCTTCTCTTCACAGAAGGTGGTTGGCACGTTAGAGAACCATGACGGCAAATTGACACCGAGTGCCGAGTAGAGGTCTAATTTGAAGCCTTTCCCTGGCATATTTTGAGGTCTTTATATGAGCGGAAATTTTCGAACAGCGCGTAAACCAACATTCAATCAATCATTCATTTATAACTGGTCAGTCAATATGTTCAAGGAGTTAAATTTCTTTTGTTGAAGTTTGACACACTGAACGTTAATCATAAAATGGATTTAAATCATAGTCTAGCATAATTGAATATTTATGGGATTTGATCGAGTGATCCTGCTTTTAAATCTATACAGATGCTTAAAAATGATTCTTATTTCTGAATTAAATTCAACTATAAAAACGAAAGAATTTTTTTATAATCTAAATCAATGATAGTAAGCTTATAGTTCTTAATTTTCCTTTACAAAGAAAGAGACAAAGAAAACCGTTCCAAATATACGTATGTTCGTATACTCCTATATAGAGGGAAACAAATTGAATTTTGAGTTTTCAAAATAGAACTTTGTATTACATTTCAGTCGTTGCATTTTATACCAGTGCGATCATACCTTTGCTACCAGATGTATTTTCAATGTTTTGCTGAAAAAGCGAAGTATCACTAAATATGAAAATATCATAATTAATCATTTCAATTTTGAAGATTCCCTCTGTTTCGATCCAATGTTAAATTTTAATTCTATATTTACTTCGAAGTTGACTTTATAGGTACATGTACACATTAAAAGATCTATATCTAATATAGAATATCATTCAATTCTGCGATGTTTTATGTTACATGTATACATGTATTATAACCTACATAAGTTGTAGTTGTGTTCGTATCGAAAACGTCTGAAAATCTGGTGCCATCAGTGCTACAGGACAGAGTGAAAGATTCCATTTTTCGGTTAATATCCCCAGACTTAGTGGTCACAGCAAATATTCTCCCCTTATTACCTGTTATAAAATACCAGCTGTATACATGAACAGACAAATAAGGTCAAAATGTTCCAAAAAAATTGTTTGGTTTTAATCTTTAGAAAATTATCATTAATTTATTATTTTTTACCAATAAATAACAAAATCCATTGTTATACCCAAATCTACTTGTATCCATGAGTTGGCGTTTTCCCCACACCAGCCCGCTGAAGCATTGCTATTAAACCTTGCCTCTGTAGCCAGTGATTGGTTACGTGACAAGTATGCAGATAAATGAGCATCAGGAATGATGTGTCTGTTCTGTACTCCAATGCTGTTTAACCTGCAGTCTTTGATAATATATTATTGAGTATCCAAAATAATCATTAAAATGAACAGTTTTTATGGAATATACATGTGTACAAAATCAAATTATCTCTTGAAAAACTTTTCTATATATCATATATCAATGGCATGTGAATGAAGCCAGGGGAATGGTTCGCTGCAGTTCAAACAGTAAACAACATTTCAAAATTAGTATTGAAAATTTCATTAAATCAAATTTAATAGTTTTAAACATAAAGAAAAGTATGTTCTGATTTCATTTTTCTAGTACATATAAAAACAAAATTAATGATAAAGTACCTGCGTCGCAATTAACTCCACCATAATGCCCATCACAAAGACATGTGTAGCCTAATCCTTCACGAGTTTCATTACATACGCCATTGTTATGGCAAGGATGTTCTTGACATTGATCTGATTCTTATAAAGACAGGGGACAATTGTTACCAAATGCAATAATATTATTTTATTTTCAAAATTAGAAACTTTGAATAAATATTGAAAACTTTAATTTTGCAATTATTCAGTTTTTTAAGAATATTCCTTACCATATGAATCAAAGTGGAAAACGGCATCTGCAAATTTTCCGTATTCGGTTTTGGCTCTTACAGTAAATGTATACTCAGCATCATGATCTGGCACAATACCATATATCCGGCGGTTTTCTGAATCAAGGAACACCCCATATGGAAGCGATCCAGCAATGATTTCAAAAGTTAGATTTCCGGATCCAGGAACCTACAGTACATTAATTCTGTATTCTGCAGTTGTTTCAAAGACATTCATTTATACATACATGTATATACATGTATGCAATGAAAGTGTAAATAGCAATAAAATATCAATTATTATTGAGGTCTGTTTTTTAATTAACATCCATGGTGCTTTTGCTTACCATTAGTTTTAAGGGAATATTTAAGCGTTTTCCCCCTTCAAATCTTCCAGAATATCCGATATCTGTATGATTTATCCATACGGGTGGAAGACCCAAAGCTATCTTAATAAAAACAGGCGTATTAATTAAAAACAATTCATAAATATCAAAACACAAATTGAAATTGTAATTAAAAGCTTAAAAGAGTGTTAGCAATAGTGGACTCATAAATTACTAGTTTATATTAGTTTAGGTCTCACTTAAAGTGTAAATCTAGTTAAAGGGATTTAATTTAAATTAAAAGGTCAAGAGAAGGAAAAACAGGAGAGAAATCACGTCAAATTGTTGGTCAGATTATGTTTTAAAAACGATAAGAAGCCCAAAGGTTTATAACTTATATGATGGATGCGTAGTTTTAAAGTAAAAGAAAGTTATTTGACTTACTTTTATAATATGGAACAGATTGGAATTCTCAAAATAAATTCCAGTGGTATTTCCCCCAGAATTAATGTGGATGTCTCCGCCATATTCTGTCTGAATAAAACGTATTTTTCGTGAGTCTAAAATCAATAATGTCATAAGAGTAAAACATTTCTATTATTTTATGTGGTATATGCATTTTGCATGTTGCCAAACAAGAATTTGACTTACTGAAGCAGAGAGGTAACCATCCTTTTGAGCTGCTATTGTAACGCCGGGGAAGTGAATCTGCAAAACTCTTATATCAAATAGACATTAGAATACATACATGTATATAGTGCTTACGAATACCATTTATAGTAATGTTTTAGAAACTTTAAATAAGTACCCCCAAACTATTAACGGTCATGCTTAAAACAAATTTAGGAATGATGTGTATAACTTTTTAATAAACGAAATTAAGAAATAGCGATTAAACTCATAAATTTCAAAAACAATTTTCAAATTAAGCACGGACACCATCAGAGCGAACTGAGGTTCATAGAAGGAGTACACATCTCATGTGACTGTTCTAATCCAGCAAGGTCTTTCTTGGTTTTTCCTCAGTCTATAGTCATTAAGGACTCTGCGCTAGGGTTATCATTGTAATATTTCTTGCTTATTTTTTGCAGATCAAGAAATCTGCAAAGAACTTTCTCCTTTGCATAGCACTTGAAGTAACATAACTTTTCAAAATTATTGCATAATGCAGACATTCATTAATTTTGGATTAGGTTGTACATAAAATAAATATACAAAAATTAAAGTTTATTTTTTTAAACTTGTTTCTGAAAATGAATGCGCGGAACGAAAAAATCTTGTCGAGAATTATATTTAATGTCTTTGTTTGTTTAGATCATGGTATTACTTAGATATCAAATTTGTAAATTTTCAGTCATTGTTACATACTGAATCACATATATACTCACTCTTCATGTTTAGGAGTCGAAGCTTGAATTCGATTCAAAATACTCCAAAGGAAAAATATACACGAAACCAAATTCGTCGCCATATTGTATTATGAAACCACATCTTGAAATATATGGAATATCCCTAAATGTGCATTCATGCTTTTTTCACAAAGCAACCTGAAAATGTTTCATTAATGTATTAGCTTGAAATAATTAATTTAAAGATTTGAAAAATAACACCATCAAAGAACACAGAAACGGGCCTCTCCCTAGAAGAAAATACACGATAATTACAAATGTAAACAAAAAAGAGACAAAATAAACTTTAAAAAGTGTATCGTGGCTTATTCAGGATACTTTATCAAGAATACACTGTGTACACAAATAATTAATTTGACGTAACTCTATGGAGATCTATTACATAATTTCAGTGTTAGGTAATCTAAAGAAACTGCGTCGTTAGATTTGTTGCGATGTTGTAAATTCATGTACAGACAAAGGCTAAGGTCAACGTAGCAAAAATATTGCAAAAGATTTTTTTATCTTAATTACCTCGAAAATTAATAAATATGTTTTCTTGTCATGCACTTTAAAATTATAAAAAAAAAAAAATCAAGGTGTGTTAAATTTGTGACCAAGTTAAAGCAATTTGAAAAAAATAGAATTTCTTTTCAAAGTGCATTAAAGACAGATGATACAAACAAACTTTTGTCAATAAATTTTAAAGTAACAACAGTACTTCGTTCATGTTTAAATGAGTAAATGAATAACTTTCACCGCTTAGTTTTTAATTTTTTTATTCAAATTTCCACAAAAACGGAATTTAAAGTGAAAAATATTTGTATAGATTTATGAGGATGGTTTCAGAAGGGCAGATTTTTGAACATCACAAGTTTACAATTTCTTTATATTCTAGAAATCTACTATTTACATCATTTGCAATTAAATTGGGCCAAAATATATATACCAAGGCATTCCAGGCATCCATTTTTTTGTTTTTATCATCTGTCCTTAATATCAACCAAATTAATGCATTTTGAAAAAGAAATTTATGTTTATGGCTTGGTCAATAATTTTGTGAATTTTAGGTGAAATATATGGAGATAACGAACAATCTTCAAGTTTCAAATTTAATAAAACAAAATAGAGTGCTGTTGTAAGTCTGTCGATAAAAAAATTAAGGACGGTAGGCACTTTTGATGCCCATTATATTTTTTCTGTTAATTGAAATCCATATGCTCATGTGTCTATAAAACAGACAATGGTTGCTGTAAAGACCCATAGCGCATTTGATAGTCACTTTCGCTTACTCTAGTAGTGATTTTTTAAAATACATTGTTTAACCAAAATATTGTCATACAATGTTAGTGTATACATGCTTTAAAGCAAATCACACAAAAATAATATTCAAATATTAATAGTTCCCTCATATGATAGATATAAAAATCGTTCAGTTTATATGGGGAATATAGTAAATACTGAGATACCCCTCTAAACAGTGACAAACTGTAGCAAAAAACTACCCTTAACCAGAAAAACAACTTCTGAATAATTTTATTTGGATATGCCTGCACTTCATTACATTTAGATAATTTTGGTTAAAGGTGGTCTTCATATTGAAAATGTTGAAAATATGTATTTAATTTTTCTTCTCAAAATTATTCTAAGATTCAACAATCTGTCTTAAATTTATCCATCTGCTTACAACGACTTTGTGGCGTAGTGGTATGATTGCTGGAATGTAGACACAATGATCGTGAGTTCGAGTCTCACAGTGCGTGTTTCTTATCAATGCTTTTATTTTTTTCTCTGTGCATTTTTCCTATGTTTTCTTTTATTGTTTTATAATACATGTATAAATAATATAAGAGATATATAATACAACATTACACATTGAAAGTATCTCGGGAAAATACAGTCTTAAACTATTTAAATGACCCAAAGTCGTAGCTGCTAGCTTGTTTTATTTTCATAATTTTCAAAAAATCTTGTTTAGAATAAGAGTATTGAACAAGTAAAATTACTGTCATGTAAAAAAAACTTGAAAGAATGAAAATATAACACTGGTCCACAAATGATTACATGTATACATGTAGTTTGATCTGAATTGAAAAGATACATGTATCTATAAATAGAATCAGGTGATTTCCTTTTAAATACTCGAGTCGGCCGTGTCGTCGGTAAGGCAGCTATGGCTCTTTCACATAATTTATGTCAGTAAATATTTCTTTCGGATTCTTAACGAGTTTTACACTAGCTTTCATGAAGCATTTAATATTACTCTAGTTTACTGAATCCTTACCACTCTGTTTTAATGCAGTGTCTCGAATAGCCATTGTTTTCAAGCTTTTTACAATTAAGCTATGTGATGGAAATTGGTCACATAAACTACATAATCAATTCATTAAAGATTCAATCATAAGAGAAAGTCAAGCTTAATGATTTCTATGTTGTTTGTCATAGAACTCTTGACATTATTCATTGAACAGCTCTAGTAAGACCTTTCCAAATTTTCATAGTTGGGATCAGGTGCCTAGGATAAGTAAAATTTCTCATTTAACAAGTCAAATACCTGCCTCTATCCCTATAAATTGATCAAGTAGACGGAACATTTTGTAAAATTTAGAACGGAAACATAGGTCTGTCAATTGGTATGAAATACGCTGTCAGTCAAAGTACTACTCAGGGATTTGCTAATGAGGTCAAAATAACTACCATAGAATTGATGAATGCCTACTTTAAACGAAGTTAAAAAGCTCTGTAACATCTATTTATGTATAAGTAATCTGCATAGGTTTTAATAATTATTCTAAGAGTTTTCCTTGAATAGAGAACAGTCAAAAGACAAATATACCATATGCAGGTGAGAGCGATATGTAATTACATAAATATGGAGAGTTGACGATGGAAAAGCTGATTCAGAAGAAATTTCGTTTGTCATATAAATACAATTTACTTATTAGTTCATCATTGTCGGCTATAATCAGTAAAACACCCAAACATAAAACATTATTTTATCTAATAATATATATATATATATATACACTAATATATTGAGTTTACAGATGAATGGGAATACATGTACTTATCATCAATGACTAATAAGACGTCGACGATATCTAAATGTCGAAGCGAAAGCCTGGGAAAGTATTTTCTTCTCCTCATTGTGAAGTTTTTGTATAATTTCTACTCCAAGGTACTTGAAAAACTATAAAGACAACGATTAGTGCCCCTCTACTGCATGAATGTTGTGAAACATATTGAAATAATGAGCAGTATTCAAGATCAAAAGTCCATAAAACAATACAAAATAGGAGCATGGCAAACACAGACTTCTAATGCGTTAGAGGTGGGATAGGTATATTGTTGCATAAGTAAGGAAAAGTAAGAGTCGTCACGTTGATCAAAGAGTTTGGTAATTAGATTACCATTAGCGTATTTTTCAAGTAAAATATCCAAATACGAAATAGATGTGTCATACTCTATAGTATCTTTTATCTCAAATTCACCAGGATATACAGTATTGACATAAGAATATAAATTACCATGTTAATTGAATGAGAAATTCCAGTATTCTCTTAATATCAACTTCGGTTCATTCATACAGGGTGATTTATTTAGGTAATTTTGTTTATAACTAATTACTATATGTGAACATTTACCTATCCGTTTAACTTGAAGATAACTAGTACTTTAAGGTGCTGAAACATGGATACATTATTTTGAATCTCAGGGGCAAAATTATAACAAAATGTCCATGGCTGACAAAAAGGCAAAACGCTCTGTTATCGCAAAATGATGTCAAAAGTACTAAGAAAATATCATATGCAACTTTCCTTAAGGTATGTCACTCGTGAAATTTGTTAAATCAAGGATTTGTTGAGAAGTATATTTTTGATAAGTACTCATATAGTGTAACTCAAAATCGCAGAGAAAATAGGGGGTCAGTGTGCATCTGCGGTGCAATAAAGTTTACATTTTTGCACTTAAATTTTAACTCTTTGGTTAATTACTTTAACCTTTATTACATTTTATCAGATGTTACCATGGCAATAAATATAATCTTATTTTACGTTAAATGGTTCGAATAATATTTATCATTGAAAAAATCTTGCAAATTAATGCACGTAAATTTTTGTATGACCTTTTTGCACTAAAAAGTAACATGTTTGGGGGTATTAAAAACTAAATAAGCAATAAAACATTTTCTTATATCAAACTGTATACAACTTAAGCGCTTATCAGTCACAAGTATTGAGTAATTTAAAATAATGAAAGAAAAAGTTGGGGTCAGTGATGTTAATTTTGAAATTTTGGTCAAACTATGCGATTTTCAGGCGAAAAATGGTGTAAATTTCATCATGACTTCTTAAACATATCTTCATATTTTGACAAAGTTTGTTGAGGCAAGGTGTAAAATTTGTTCTGAAAATTTGAATTAAGACCTATATTAAATATTCCTAGCAGTATCGTAACGGAAATTATTCTCCTAGTAAAAGTATGTGAGGCTAAAGTTCCAAGATGTTCAATTTAATAAATGTGCAGATTTGCAGAATTTTCTGCTAAATATCCATCCACCACAAAAAAAAAGTCCCTCATAAATCTGGCTTCTTTGTAGGTTTTTGAGCAGTTTTTTCGTTGAATGTTACAAAATTTAGGTTGTTAAATTTTAATATGTCATAAAAATTGAATTTTAATAAATAGTTTTGAAGTAAGAGGTTCTGCGTGAACTCTTCTAAAAAGTTGACGAGTGACATACCTTAACAGTGAATATCTTTGCTGTTATTCAAAAAGGCAGATCAATCACTGAACTCGTTTATAAATACTAGTATCCTATACTAAAGAATACACATTAATGTATGCCTGTTGGTTATTTATTGTTATAAATTAGTGCCAGCTGATCCCACTAAGCTAGCCTGGTTTACAGCAGAAGTGTTGTATTATTTGAGGTGTAGTCTGTCTAATTAGGATCAGAACTGGGTGCCTGTTAGCTATGTTTTTAAATTTTATGTATTTGCAATGCATTCAGATTTTGCATTCAGGTTTGCCTTTGTACATATTTTTCATCTTAAATCTTAGTAGACATAAAAGTTGTCGGCCTGTTTCCATCTATGTTTATAGATTCTTTTAATTTTTTAGCTGTTTCATATTCCTCGGCCTCTCAGTAATGTAAATGTATCAAGGTTAATTTTAAAGAATTCACAATTTGTATGTTCTGTTATCTTTCAGAATTGTTTACTTAATTTTATGTACATTAGGTCAAGTTTCACGACCATTTTTAATTTATCTGCTGATTTCCATCACTTGTTACTTCCTGTTTAGAATTTTGTGTTAGCCTTTTCATGTAAGGCCATGATATATGTGTAGTACCAATTGTGTTTACATTTAAAGACTCTTATATGTTAGATGCATTGAAATAATTTATTTTCTTCCTTTTTGAAGAAATTTTCTATCCCTTCCACTTGAATATGCTTTAGCACAGTGCGTTTGGAGTTGCTCATTTAAAACCGTAAATTATCTTTTGTCAGGAGTAAAGTCAGGGAAATGGAAGGGCATGTTGAGAAGCAAGTCAAAATATTTCCCAATATAGATATAGCCCGTTCATAAGTAATTTTTTTTTCTTTTATTTACCCTGAACTGACTGAAATGCCTGATACCAAGGTCAAAATACACCCATAAGTAATATCTGTACCAAGTATAAGCTTCCATTTTCCATTACAAACTAGAGGCATTCCATTACAAACTATGAGCTCACTAAATGATATACCCCGCCTCCAATGTGAATATAATGGCAGTGTCCATGTTTTACTATGGGAAACCCCCCCAAAAAATGAGTCGGATCAAAAAGTAAAATAGGAAGTCATAATGTCAATATCTAATAAAGATTCTGTGAAAGTCTCATCAAATTGTATTCAATGGTATGAAAGAAGTAGCGGATAAGAGATGGGTACCCCAAAGCGTAACAGACGGACAAACGGACGGACGTACGGACGGACGGCATCCCGATTAGTATATACTCTCCTGCTTTTTAAGCGGGGGTATAATAAACTTATATGCAGACATAACGGCTTGGACAGGAGGAATGGAAGTTAGACAGAAGAACGGACAAGATGCCGCATAAAAAAACCCATACTTTGATTTGCCAGTTAGGAATAACCTCAGAAAAGCTTCATAATATAAAACAATTAGATCACTAAGTCAACAAACTGTTCAAATCATTTCAAGGGAGATTCAAAACAAAATAAGGGTTTAACTCTAATTTTTCATGGAGAATAATTTGTCATCGGGCGAGGTTAAACATTGCACTGAGAATTTGGTAACAGTACCTGAGCATTCATACCTTCTTCTCAAAGCAACAAAAAATTGTTTTTATGAAGCTTTTCTTACTGTACTTCAATGTGTAAACGATTTACTGTGAATTGCTAACAATATATTCCAAACTTTATTTTTTTTCTAAATCTGAAAAAAAAAATTAAATAAAATTGGAAATTTTAAAAATAAATAGTTACTGTAAAGCATGGAGTCCATTTATTCTAAATACGTCATTAGAAATCTTTTGCAAAATATATAATCCGCGTTCAAATGCCTTTTTACATGTATGTACATATTAAAGAAAAGGATTCTTTAATACACCAAGAATCCAATAAAAGTAGATATAATCGTTAGATTCATATTTTGGATTTTTAACATACTGTTTGGCTATGTATACATTATAAAAGCGCGCGTTAGAATTGTTTAACATGTCATTACATTACGCTATATGTCGGAACAGACGTTTGTTTTATGACACGTTGAACATCCCAAAATTAACAATTTATAATGCTCAATTAGAAATTTCTTCATTAATTTACTCTATGAATTAATAAATCAGGTTTAATACATGTTCACTGAATTCTAAAAAAAACCATTAAATAAATGGGGTATAATATGCGTTTTAAACGATGTATACATAATCTTTATATTTAAGTTACACGTTATATGTTCAATCTCTCACCAGAGGGCGCGCTCCGCTTACACCTTTGTTGTCGTCGAAAAAGTAGCGCGGATTGTCAAATAATTATTTGTTTACAAAAATTGTATAAACATTGATTGTTTTGTATGATTTCTAAATGATGTTACGTGTTTTAAGCTCTCTGGTAGTAAATATTTCCTTACTTTGTCTCCTTGGTTTCAAAATGAAAATATGTGTAAAAATTCAGAACAAAATAGTGCCGTATATATTGAAGCTATTTTAATATATATCCAAAATTTTGGAAGAACAAAAGAAGTGCTACAGATTGATATTTCTAATTTCATTTTAAAAAATCACCAAGTTGGTGGAAATATGTAATTTATTTTCGTTTTACAAGATTCTTGTAATTTAGACGATAACAGAGGTGTTGGAGCGATGAGCGTAAAACGCCCTCTGGTGAGAGATTGTTTATATGTTGTTGAAAAACGTATGTGTGCATGGTGGAAAGGGTAAAAAGAAGGTGTTCTCACAAAATGAACAGACAATTTGTATGAAATTATTGTAGTACAAACATACATTTTTCAATAAATTGATTAGACTCTGTTGCAAAATCAACAAATTCCGCTGAAAAACGTTCGATCACCAAAGCAAAACATTATTATTTTATTTAAAAATATCCAGAATACAAAATAAAATCATTTTTTCATGAAATTTTGAATTCTTCAATTATCGTCTCAATATTGTACAGCCGCACTAAATCATGGCCAGGTAATAAACTTTTTTTCTGAAGACTAAATTATCAAATACATAAATTTTAATATGAGACACTGTTTTTATATAAACTTTTTCATGTAGAAATGACGCACACAGTTTAATATGATGACTTATTTCTCTGTAATAGAAGAAATAATTTTTGTAAATGTAGACATTCTACGGATTACAGATTGTAATAGTGACAACCAAGAATGTCCACTTTCATGTATGGTCCTGTGTAGTACCATCCAAGGGGATTGAATCGGACAAAACGGGCGTCAATCGGTTCCGGAAGTGGTCTGGTGTAAGTGCTTGCACCTGCTGAAAATGTCTTTAAAACAAAAAAATCTATTTCAATCGTGTGTCATGTGCATTATGAAACGAACGTAATACAGAGTGCATTGTGATATTTTACACAATTTTTCTCCAATTAAACAATTAAAACAAGTCTACTCTACGTAGCATAAAACCTACCAATGGATTGCCCCCAACAGTGTAGTTAAGGAAATTGTTCCCGTCAATGCTGTACGTAAGGTAGTATGAACTTGTGTAATAGCGACTCCCATAATACTGCATTATCGTCCCGTAGACACGAGTAACATTTCCTATAATTGATAATAATTCATTTCCTCTATGTTCTTTTGAATTTTTTTTTCGAAATTTACAAACTGATTCCTAGAAGACAATACACCTTACATATTTATCAACAACAAAATTATAGCGTACAATATTTTATAATATTTACAAAACCTACATTACCATACATCAATAATTCTTACTTCAAACGTTACACATTGAGTGCAAATTGATATAAAAATCAATCTTACCAAAGCCAGACCTTTATTTACGCTATTGCCTCGCGACATATAAAAATCGGGGAGCGGATGGTAGATCTAATTTTAATTAGATTGATATAAAAATGTGATGTGTTCAGAAAATATAATTATTTTGTCAGTTCATAAGTTTAAGGACTAAATCTTTTGCACATAAATGCATGTACTTTGGCTGCTGTCAAAATTATTTTTTTTTAAATTGAAGATGAAATGACCAAATATGATATATGAACAACGATCAATCTCAAAAGTCTTTTGATATAAAACATATTGAAAGTAAAGCATACACGGACTTCTAAACACATCAGAGGTACATATAAGATCAAGTGCCTTGGAGGAGTAAGTATTATCTGCCGGTTGCTTGTCATGATCAAACAATGGAAACATCCGAAGAAAATCAGTGATTTGGTTTACATATGTGAATATTATTAGCCTAACAATAAATCTGAAAACGTCAACCAGAATTTGAATTATTTTTTTAATGATCGTTTTTGCTGACAAAGTCAGTTTATCGACTACAAATCTTTCTAAGTAATGATGTTAAACGATGAGTTGCTAGCTTGTATCGTTTTAGAAATTGCCACCAATTGTTAGACCCTTTTTTTTTTATACTGAACTAACCATATAGGGATGATCAATATTCAGGTCTCACGGTAGGTGTTACTGGTCAACGGGGGGGGGGGGGGGGGGTTACTCCTCCTAAGCACCTTATCTCACTTCTGTAATTTCCAGGGAGCTGTGCTTTATGCCGTCTTTATATATTTTCATCGTTTATGGATTTTGTTTTTAGATGCATCACTGTTCGTTATCTTTATCCTTCACATAAAAAAAGAAGTTAAAGATTTTGTGCATTATTAAAGTATTATAAAGAAACATTAACCTTTTTCGCTAGATAATATAAAAGGAATCTAAGTGGTTATATGTACACGTATGAGGGGTGATCAAAAAGTTCGCGAACTATCTCTATATCTACAAAACCACAATTCAGATTAGAATGAAATTCGGTACACACATAGCCATACAAAAGGTCTATATATAGCATATGTTGAATAAAGTTTTTCTCCTTGTTTGTGACGTCACAATGTGAAAATGACGTCACTATGTAGGTCACTTGTGACGAAAAATGGTTTTCTCAGTCGAACTCGTTCAACAAACCACTGTACAATTTATTGAATATCTTAGAAATTCCTCTGCGGTATCCTATAATTATTTGTACACAGTTTATTGAGATAAATGAGTTCCTATAAATTCAATTAATGATTGGATTGATCGTTTTAGTGAAGGAAGACAGATGGTTAAAAATGATACTTGTTATCTTGCCCAGTGAAAGCAAGTTTGAAAAGATATGTATTCTTGAGAGTTGAACTATGTTCAATCTCCCATGGTTATCACGTATTTAACATGCGCAGTAATTTGTGTTGATTACATAGAGACGAAAGCGAGGCTACTGTGTCTGCTGATTTACTCCGATGATATTCAACAGAAAACATGCATAAACATCCGCGACAAATAGTTCATGTCATTTTCTCCTGAATTAATCTAATTTCCATAATGTAAGTAAATGTAATGATAAAGTAATCTTATTTTGGATATAAGAATTCGTTCAAAGTACATATGTAAAACTAAATTATAAAGAACCATGAAAGTTTTTCGTAACGGAACTCATTTTTAGTGTAGCGTCATATACACTGAGAGAGATACGAACGACAACTCTACATACTGACGGCAAACGTTAAATTTAGTCATATTCAAACTTTTCATGAACATTTTCTTGGTTTAATTGAATTCGTTAATGCTTAAAAACTTTAGGAAACATGCGTATTTATTACTTAATCAGCAGTATCACCTGCAAAAAGCGGTAAAACTAGTACTCTGTTATAAATATTAAAACCAAAAACGGACACCGATGTTTTCGTAAAATCGCGATTAAAAACAACAAATTTAAGTATATTTTTTAAATAAAAGAAAAACCTCATTAACATACCAGATAATTTGTACGCACACAAACTCTCGCATATACCACTGCTCTTTTCTTCACAATATTAAAAAAGATTAAGTTCTGACGTACTCCATGTATAATGTTCGTGTAATTGAAATACATTTTTATACACAGAGAAGTTTTATACAACAAACCTGTTAGCTCTAAAAAGGATGCTGTGTTAAAATCCACATTTTATCAACATTGATATTATTCCTGAAACTGAAATTTTCATAACACATGGGTAAAGGTGCAAAGGAAAAATATATTACAAATTTGAAGACTATGATCAGTGCAATGGGAAACCCAAAATTTGTGTAGGATGAAAAAGTAATAGAAGCACAACGGCAATATGTAATAAAGATTCTATGAAAAATTTGTTCAGTGGTGTTAGAGGAGTTGCGGATAAGAGATGGGTATACCTAAAGTGTAACAAACAGATGGACAGAAATCATGATTAATAAATTCCCTTCCGCTTTTCAAGCAAGGGGTATAAAAAAGGACTAATGTAGGCAGGCAAGCATTATGGCCCATGCATTTTTTTTTGCTATTCAATGTCTCTGAACGTCTTTCTCGATCAAGATTGTTCCAACTCAAAAAATGTGAAACAGTTGTCTTTATTTAAAAATACAAACATAATAATAATCAATACATGTAATATTGTTCACTCACTTAACCTCCCGATCAAAGATTTTATTTACACCATGTTCAACTCCCATGAGTGCTTTCAGTACTTTGATTCATTAAGCAATTTGCTATCAAAGACCTCCAATTAACACTTGAAAAATAGTTGAATATTTGAACAATAATGTAAGTATTAAATACCTAAGATATCGTTTACTTTAGATTTTAAACATATTAGATATGATAAAAAGGAGGCACCCATTCTCTATCCACCTTGAATAAAGGTCTCTCCCGAGACAGAAGATTTGTGTTTTAATGGTCGCCATGCTTATTGTTGGAAAGGATATTCTTATTCACCCATTCTGTTGCCGAGATATGATCATTTCTGACAAATGAACTGTTCTTGTCATAAAAATTAACTCACATGGAAAGAAATATAAAACTCAGAAAAATCTTTCAACTTTTGTGACAGAACGCTACGGAGGGGGTCACGTGACCGCCAATATCACGTGATTAAAGCATGCGCAGAACGGTGGTTGATGTGCATTAAAATCGGGGAGGATTAATTTAAAATATAATCAACATTAAAACCAAATATTTTTTCTTTTATGAAAATTATTCAATTAGTTTGCGAACTTTTTGATCACCCCTCGTATGTACCTAAGTCAACTTGCAGCCAGGAATTTCTATCTTTTCCTAACCAAGTACTACCGCCATTAAGCCTGCCATTATAAGCCAACTCAGTGCTATGTGATCTGTGGGCAGTCATCTGAGCATCAGGGATCCATCGTTGACTTTGACGGATACCTAGACTGTTACTCCTGCAATCTAAATTATTCTTTGAACTTAATAAAAACTACAGGAAAAATATTGATATACAAATATGAGAAAATTAGTTTTTAATACTCAACGGTATTTTTAGTTCTTCTATATATCTCAATTGGTATGTAATAAGTAGTAAAGTGTTTTTGTTTATGATTGCAAGACACAAATAAAAGCTAACTTCTAGTTTCAAATCAAGCTCATAAACTTCAACATCTTGGGTTAGATTAAAGGGAATTAAATTTTTCTAAAAATACTTTTGTTTTAAGACATTTATGAGGTAAAGATATCTCTTTGTCACAAGACTGTTTCTTAAACTTTAAGGAACCTTGGATGCATTTGCAAATTCAAATGCTGCACGTAGAAAAGAACTCAAATATATGCATGCTTCGTTTTACGAATTTTGTAATTTTTTTTTACTTTTTTAGATATTGTATTTTTCCAAATATGTTTTTACGTTTTGCTTTAAAAAAAAAACAACGTTGACCTCAACAAATTATTTAACAACACAAAATGTTATACTCCAAAAAGCGTGTTACTGTATACATTTGTGTTTTTCGTTTATTTTGACGCTAATTGTAAAACCGTAAAATGTAATTGTCTTAATATATTACCTCGGTATTACATACTGCATTATAAAACTGCATCGGTGCTACATGTAATATTGTTATTTTGATAACAGCTTTTGCTACTTGTTGGCTTTTTAAGAAATTGGTTTTGCTGATGAATTCAGGCAAGTGACACCTTTTCTCCAAAGTACAGAGGAATAGAATTTTACTTAATATATTGAGATAACTAAAATATTTTTTCTGGTCTGGTTGGACAAAACTAAACATATGCCAGTAGTTATTCAATACTTAGCATAGACTCATGATCAGTTACTAAAACGACCAATTTACTTGCAGACGTGCTGATTACAAGTGTTACACTTTGTACCTACAATGTATCATACATGTAATCTCCATCTTGTGTATGTTATTTAAGTACTTGTATAAGTGAGATATATTTTCAACTTTACTGATATTTCACTCTGAGAATTTGCATGAAACTTTATTTGCAGTCTTTCATTTTTACAGTACTAGCACCTTACCCAAATTACAAGTCCTTCCGCCATATGGGTATGGGCAGTGACATGTGTAACTTCCGTTAACCTCCTCACAACGTCCTTCATGAACACAGGGATTGGAGTCACATTTGTTAGCCCCTGTTCAAAATAATATGTACACAAGAATAATTATTAATAAATACTGAAAGGCATGCAATCTCTGAGTACACTAAATAAGTTTTCATTATATTACCGCGGATTAGCATTTTAAAAACGTTATCAGCATGTTTTCCGTGTTCATCAAAGGCCCGTATAGTAAAGGTATAGAACTCTTCGGTATTTGGGGCCAGTCCCTTCAATATGCCACTCTTTGGATCCAGTTTAATTCCCGGTGGTAGTTCACCGCCTATCAATTGATACGTGATTTTGGTTCTTTCCGGGTCCTACAATTATACATCAATCAATTGTTTAAACTTTTATAAGTTTTTTTTCAAAAACGTATTTTAAAAGTTGGATTTTTGGTAAAAACATTTATGTTCTACGAGGCAACCCAATGTAAGTGATTACAATATCCTTAGACTTTTGAAATTAATTTACTTGATTTTTTTTCACATTTAACACTTTAAACAAATATACTTGTATATGTACATTAATATAAAACAGTATTCCATTCACAGATATTTAATAGAATGGAATTGGGCAATTAAAATGTTAACCCTCTCCCACATTAAATTTCTACACTTACTGTAGCTTTTAGTTGAATATTGACTCTTTCGCCACTATGAAATTCACCGACATAACCAAATGGAGAGTGTTCGTCCCATACTGGCGGTAGACTAACGATCAGCTGTTTTTAAATTCACTGTATTGTTATTTGTTAAATTCATGTATATGAATACAAGTACTAAAAAAACAATTCATTTACAATATTTTTCTGCACGGCTTTTCATAACTACTTAAGATTTTGTTAACAATGTTTATTGTTAAATAAAACTATTATTGCTTTTCGAGTAGTGCATGTTAAAACTTAACATACATAGAATAGAAATAATACATGCCTGAATTAGATAGAGAAGATCTTCCCCGTCAAAAACAAACACACTTCCGCTTTCATTTGCACCTGGTAAGATTTTAATGTCCCCATTATATCCAGACTAAATTTGAAAAAAAAAATAAGTTCAACTTTTATAAAATTTACACAGCTAAATGCACTTTAATACCTCATTATTAAATATATATATCTAATACAAACAATGTCAAAATAATTTATACAAGAAGAGTTAGGTTTCCATTCTGTTCTGCAATGATATCAACATCTGGCCGATGAACTACTAGGGCACTGAAAGTAGAAGAAAAAACACATACATTTTATGAATAATTTTAATACATTATTGTTGTCAATTAAAACCATGTTATCTGAACTGACTTACTCAAAAGAAGTTGACGCATTTACGATCAGCAACGAACAAGCGATGGAAGAAGCAAAATACCAAAGCATGATGTCGAGTTTTTTCTGAAAATATTAAAATTAAAAGGTGTATGCACATGAATTCCATACCACAAATTATTCTAAAATAGTTTTGAAACATAGTGTATCTTTTCAAGCATTCGATTTCTAATATACTAAAATTTCATTTTGAACAATCAATAAGAAAATAATGGAAAAAGAGAAATGTGAAAACCTTGATTTTTAAGAATAAAAAAAATCACCTCGTACCTTATACAACATACACAATCGACAGCAAAATTCATATACCTTATCGTTTGTGGAAACTTTACGACACGACTGCAATCTCTGGTTACTAGGCTAATTCCAAAGATTGATAACTGATGAAACAGTGAACCTCGCTTCATTGTTATCACGTAAAAGACGCAGCAAGATGTCGAGGCTTCTTTTTGTCACATATTCTGTCTTCCTTTTTACACAATTTGATATTTGTACTGCAAGGTAAATTATGTATTTTATATAACACATTTTGATTGTAATTTTCTGACACCTAGGTTCGTAATTTAAATGTATATTTTTTAAAATAATTATTACAGTTTCTTTGATATTCACTACCCGGATGTGTTTTTTACGGCTGAGCAAGGAGGGAACTTGACTATTAGGGTAAATGATGTACTCTAAAACGAAATTGTAGAATTCATTTTTTACGAATACACCGGATATATTCTTCCCAAAGATCAATACTGTAACTCATAGCAAGAATTCGCAGTATTTTTCGATTCTCTTGGCATATTATTATTGGTTTGTTTTATCTATATTAGGCTGGACCAAACGGCGGGGACATCATCATGCTCCCACAGGGCAATGGAACCGTATATATTGGCAAAACCGATATGCTAAAATTATTCCAGGTACCATTATCTTAGATCATAACACCAATCTCAAACGAGTCTTTAAAATTTAGATAACTTAAAATATTTATTGGTAATATATTTAGCTTTTAATAGTACAACATCTTGACTTGTAATTGTTGCTATTTCAGCCATTTTATGTGTGATTTTTTTTATTGCCTCAGATGGCATGGACAGTTTGAAAATGAGAATATTGGGGTTTTTGTTTAGATTGTCAATAGCCTTCCACCAGTTTGGAGTGAAAAGTCACCACATGGAACTCTTGGAACATATATGGGAGGACAAATTGTGTCTCTAAGCGTTTCTGCTCAGGTTGGTCAATTAAAATTGAGATTTATTCTTCATTATGTCATTATTTACAATATAGATAATGAAGTAAAAGCACAGCTTTGTTTTATCTATTTTCCAGGATCCTGAAAAAGGAAATGTTACTTATGAAAAAGTATCAGGGGCACTACCACCTGGTGTTCATCTGAACAAAAACACGGGAGCAATTACTGGACGCATTCCGGATATTGATGCAACTTATGAATTTGGAATCCGAGTTACGGATGTTCACGGAAAATACGCAGATCAAATATTTTCAATTGATACAAGAGGTGCTTTTAAAAAAAAACATATTGATCATTTATAATCAGGTGGAAACTATCGAATTAACTGAATTTTTTTAAAATTCATGATTATGCACATGACTTACATTTTTTTTTAATTTCGTTTCCTTTATGTAAGTATGCATGTGCATGTAATACTATACCTATACTCGTGTGATATGTTCCATTAATCGGTTAATCTTTTTTCTCAATTTACTAAACTTCGAAGAAAGAGACCAGTGTCAAAGCTCTCCATGTTTACATAGTGGAACGTGCATTGACGATATTGAAGACTTTAAATGCACATGCGCAAAACCCTATGGCGGGAAAACATGCCAGCTAAGTAAGAACATTTTCAGGTTATCCTAATGTTATTATCAATGATAAGAGAGAGAGAAAAAACAGATACTTTTGACATCAAATAAGCATTACATGTATCTCTTTCTTAAGACTGTGTGTCTTCACCTGTCGGAATTGACCAGAACAGTAAGAAAATCCCGGACGCCCAAATGTCTTGTCACTACTGTTATGATGATAGCGCCGGGGTAGACGGCCGACTTCACGCTCCACAAGGATGGGTGGGACAAAATACAAACTCATGGCTACAGGTAATTTGATATTTCAAGCTATTTATAATGCACCTTTTTGTGTTTCGTTTGTTTGTTTTGGTTTTTGTAGTTACATGTAGTAATGATCTGACTCAAAACCAATTATATTGTTCTCTATAAATCGATATTATGGTTGCCTTGGTCGGAGAAAGTTCCAATTAATAAATGTAGGTGGTATGAGTACCAGTAAACTGCTCAAAATTAGTGAAAGATTTACACTATATTTCTGCGTTATGTGTACAATCATAATAGTTTAAGTTTTGATTGTTTTGTTAAATGGACTTATTTCCTTCATTCCTAAAACTTTGACATTAATAAATATCAGAGCATTGATATTGTGTAAACAGTCAAAAAGCGCTTTTTGTGTTTCTTATAAGATGTTCAAAAAAGGGAATATCATAAGAAAAACTATGTATTTCAAAACACCTTATCATATTTCTTCTCATTTTGCTGGAAGTAAACGGTTTCAAATAATTCTTAAATACCTTTCTTTGTAGGTGGATCTGGGAAGAGAAATGATGCTGCATGCTGTTGCAAACCAAGGCTACGCATCCTCTAATTACTACATTTCGACATACACAATCAAATACAGTGTGGATGGAAATAGCTTCCTTGACGTCAAAAATGGAACCTCGATCATGGTAGATTTATAGGACGCGTACAATTTTTCGTACTAATGCAGTCTAATGGTTTATTATATAAAGATTATTTTTTAAATGGGATAATTACACTTTGATATTTGAATTTGCATCGGTCATTTTTCTTTTTCACATATCAGATCTAGAAATAAAGCTCTCTGGTTGAGAAAATTTGGACATAAAAACAGTCTGTCTGAGTTTTCCCAGTAGAATATCTGTACAATTCAGCAGCTAGGCTTCGAAAGGAATTAGCTTCTTACATGTATCATTTAAAAAGTACATTGCTAAATGATTGTTAACATTTATACTACGCATTTTATCAACTGTCTGACATCAAATTCAATAGTGCTTTTTTTCGACTTTTTAGGATTTTAGCGGAAGCAGTAGCGTAAACTCCGTAATAAAACACACGTTTCTGACGCCATTCAAGGCGAGGTTTGTCAAGTTTATACCCAAAACCTTTCACAGCAAGCCGGGAATGAGAGTGGAGCTGTATGGATGTGATGTTTAAATATTAGATTCTGAACACAGCAACAAATAAAGACTATTGATCAAATTAGATGAATATGTTTTTGTGTTTAATTCAAAGAAAAATGTAGATTTGTTCTTGATATATCTGTTCTTTTTGGAAGAAAAATTGTATTCGTGCAACAATTTAGAGGGTTCATAACTGATAAATGAAGATTTGTTGCCCAAACACAAGAAAACTTGTATGATTTAAAAGATCAACAATATAATTGGTCTAATATCTATCTTTCTCTTATTTATCACTATCAACATGAAACTGTAATAACAATTAATTGTCTATTATTTATCCCCGTATTACTACCTCTTACACTGGCCTATGAAGACAAGAGGCCTATGAACCACATCGCTTCTGAGCACATTGGCTAGGAAAAAAAGCAAAACTTAGTTGTGAGTTTTCGGGGGGGGGGTTACATTTTATATTACCTGATGATACTCCCCTATTTATATAAAACTGATTTTGCTGTTCCTGAGATATCTTCTTATTTATTTATTAGCAAACATTTGATCCCCTATGCAGCCCATTCCTATCCCTGGGGGCCCTCATCTGAACCAATTTGATATTACACTACCTGAGGATGCCTTAATCAATATGACGCATGAACCATAGCTTTTCTGTTCTTAAGAAAATGATATTTTTCTTGAAATTTCTTTGTTAATCTTTGATCCTGACTGTGGCACCCACACTCCCCTCCCCCGGGTGATGACTTGAACAAACTTGAATCGTCACTACGTGAGGATGCTTTCATAAAGATATGACCAATCATGGCTTCGCTGATCTAAGAAAGAAGAATTTGAATTATTTGAACAAAAAGAATTTACAGCAATAGAGGATGTTTTCATATATATTTGACCAGCTTTGCTGCTCTCGAAAGGAAGATTTTACCTATATTTTCCTATATATTTCTATGTAAAACTTTTATCCCCTTTGTGGCCCAACCTTACCCTGGGGGTTATTATTTGAGCAAACTTGAATCAACACTGCATGAGGATGCTTCCATATAAATATGATCAATCATGACTTTCACCATGCATAACCCCACATATGGGGGCCCGGAATGGTGACATCCGGGGCTGCGGAATTCGTAGTGGAATTTGCAATGTTTGTTGACATGATTAGCTTTCCTACAGTGATTGAGATGAAAATAATCTTAAATTCACTTACGGCGGAACACAGTGATATCCCAGCTAACTCGTTTCCCAGCTCAGGACTTGTCCTAGAAATACATGAACACTTCTGCAATATCTGGCAAGAGCATGCGGGAACGCAAATTTGACCGTTTCTTTGTGAAAATTGGTGCCTTATATATCACTCAGCTTCATTTGACTTATGTGAGGGACTTTCAGATATGATTTTGCTCCAGACAGTCTAATGTTTCGGAGAATTCTACCTCAAATAAAGGAGACAGACTTTAGTTTAAGTGTGTGGCACACAATTGACTCAATGATGAACTGTATATACTTACAAGGTCATTGTAGCGTCCATAGAACTTGCAAAATGATGACTTTAACGAGACACCTCATATTCTTGTTTCATAAACTTGTTTGTCAATAATTTACCTCATTTAAGAAATTGTTCAAACGTAGAGCATGCTCTTGCGTATCGAATCAACTGAGATACATAAACTCTGTATGAATTAAGGTGATGAAGGTATGTTGCTTTATAAGTGAGGGAAGTTGACGATAGAAAAGTTAGTCGTCACGTTTATCATAGAGTTTGGTTGTTAGATTACCATTAACGTCTTTTTCAAGTAAAATATCCAAATATGAAATAGATGTGTCAGACTCTCTGGTATCTTTTATCTCAAGCTCACCAGGTTATATCGTATCGACATAAGAATGGTTAAGGTGGCGGTTTACTATGGCATTAAAACCTGCGTTATGCTGCGTTGCATAGAGGTGCGGATTTGATAAATTTTAAGAAAACCGTAAAAGTTTTTATGTTCAATTGCCAATGCAAATTCATTTTGATAAATACCATTCTGTGGAACTTCTCATTCCTTAACGTTTTTGTATACTGTCGTGAACCAAACTCACATTTATTGTACTATCGCAGAATTTCTAGAAACCATCTTCACTCTCCATTTTCATAAACAACAAGACACTTAGGTATGTTGCTCTTTGCCACTAATGTGACTTTAATTATAAAAATACTTGTAATTAATTATGTAATAATCGGTCAAAGAATCCAAAAGATATTTTATAAACTACTTATTATCAGAATCAAAATTTCACAACTGAATGAATTATGAATATGATTAATATGTAAAAAGTGATTACGTAATATGTGGCGTAATTGATTACATAATATATAACACCTTCTTCGGTCTGAAGCCAAAAACTACGTAAAACACATTCAAAATAAAGAAAAGAAGATATACTGTAGAAGTACTTTTTCCGCGTGGTATTTATTCACGCTATGTACGCGGTTACAAATTTTCCGCGGAAATTTGACCAAGCGTACTTGATATAAATATAATTGAGTTTCCGCGGAATTATGACCCCGTGGAAAAAAGTACGTCTACAGTATATAGAAATAAACTTCCTCTAAAAAGGAAAAGTTGGCGTTCTGGAGGCGGCTTAATTAAGGAATGTTTTTAGTTTTGTGTGAGTTATTGGTGTGTGAATAACACAGACTTGCACACAGTTGGCTAAGTAGAAAAACACAGCAAATGTAAATATAAGAATTTGAAGCTATCCAACAACATGTACTTTTCACGGCGTCCTAAAAGAAACTGAAAAAGGGACGCTATCTGGACGAGCAGGTCCAGGTTTTTACCGCGCACGGTTTTTTATTGGGCATTTACTACGTGTACATGTAAATGTTTTCATTTCCAAGAATCGCTTGCATTTGCCTCTCCTAATTTGGACACGCCAAAAACTTTCCAAGGATAATGCAAGCGCTAAATCTTATACGCAGAGCATTCCAATGTAAATAAAATATTTTAAGTAAAACTTTAAAATTCATCTTGAGGTATAGTGTTGGGGGAAGTAACATTTAAGCATTGAATTCATATTTTTGGATGTCTTCGGTCCTATAACACACCTGGCCGTGCCGACAAATTGAATACCGCGCGTTAATCTTTAATTTAAATTTAGCGCCCTTCAAAAACGCCATGGTTAATAGATGTAAGAGCCGTTTGTGGCGTCACATGACGTTAAATGACGTTGCAAAGTTAAATTACAAAAACAAACATTGCGAGGAAAAAAATGACAAATTTATTCTTAACACATATTGCGTTATTTTTACGTTAATTTTTCAGGGTTGTAGTTTTTCAGTAAATTGAAATAAAAGATTTAACATTTTGGTGTCCCTAGAGTATTGAAAATGCATATAGTTCCTACTGTGTATTCTAACGCGCGGTGACAAGGTTTCGCGTGTGTTATTTCAGCATTGAATTCATATTTTGGGATGTCTTCGGTCCTATAACACCCCTGGCCGTGCCGACAAATTAACATCCCGCGCTACCGCGCGGTATGATAATTTGTCGGCACGGCCAGGTGTGTTATAGGACCGAAGACATCCCAAAATATGAATTCAATACTTATATTTACATTGCTTAATTTCTCCTTTTCATAATTGTTTATTTCGGTATTCTTTTATGTGAATTTAGCGCCCTTCAAAACTGGTGTGTTTTATAGACGTAAGAGCCGTTTGTGACGTCGTAAAGTTAAATAACACAAACTAACATTGCGAGGAAAAAAGAGACAAATTAATTGAAAATGAACATTTGTTGTATTTTTACGTTAATTCAACAGGGTTAATTTTTTAAAATTAAATTGTGTCAAACAAAGTACATTTTGGTGTTCATAAAGTATTGAAAATGCATATAGTTCCTACTGTGTATTCAAACGCGCGGTGACAAGGTTTCGCGTGTGTTATAGAGATTTGAATTCATGGACTTCTAATGGATTTCATAAAGAAAATAACACTGAATGTAAATATAGAAATTTGAATGTCCTGGATTTCTAATGGATTTCATAAGGAAAATTACACTGAATGTAAATATAATGTGTTGTATGCAATCAAAAGAAGAGAAGAAACATACTAAACTGTCTCAATGTATCTCATTTGTGAGGAGTAGTATTCATTTCATCACATTTTGAAAGAAAAAAAATTCCAGGAGTAAAACTTGGTAAGAGATAACCATGCAATATGTGAAAGGAGGAGATGGGGGGTAGCTTGCTGCCATTTCTTTCCTAGACAAAGTAAAATGTGTTTTGAAGTGGCTTTTTACCTTTTAAATATTTAAGATAAATATTAATAACACAAAAGAGCTTCAGTATATCGTCCTAGTATGGAAGTATTAACCGTCGATTGTTAAAAAAAAAAAAAAAAAAAAAAAAAAAAGAGCGCTTCTCCCAAGGTCCTAGAGTCTATATTAGTTGTCTTCAATGGTTCTTTGAAACCTGGCCAACAATTTAGATGGGGTTGAGGTTTTTCACTTCATACAAACTGTATAAAGCAGACATCTGACCATAATCAATATTTACCTTACTGGCGTGATTAGCTTAAAATTTTTCTTTTTCCTGTAATGAAAAGATGCAAATTAAACTCCTCTGCATTTATGCAGATTAGAGCCCCATCAATCTAATTAAATAAGTATTAAACAGACAATTTATTAATCTTTATTTGTTATACATTTCAGATTGTTCTCCGCAAAATAAAAAACAGTACTAATATTACATAAATCATCTATCAGAAACGTTTTTTCCCATTGGTCCTTTTTTTTTTAATTGATCCAAGTCACTGGTAATGACATCCATAGAGTTCTACTTTAAACTGCGGTTTGCTGTAGTAGGATTTCGGATGAAATCGTACAAATCGTGCATCGACTGGAGCCGGAAGCGAGTAAAAGTTATCACTCCAAGAAGAAGAAAAGGTCTACGAATTAAAAAAAAACATAATTTTCATTTTTTTGTGCTGAACATTCTGATAATATGATTATAATAATAGTAGGAAAAAATTTAATATACATGTACTAGTACCCCACCACAAACTCACAAACTCATAAGTACCTATTTTACCTTGGAAAGTGCTAGCAGTTAATGAATTTGTCATTTTTAAAATGTATATTGCTTACATGTATCCCTCCGTTTGTGTCATTTACAGGAAGAAATAAAACGCCGTCTATGCTGACAGAAAGGGTGTACGCAGTAGTGTAGAACGAACTCCTGTACCCCTGATTCCATCCTAAATTTTGTCGATAACCCCGGTTCCTAACAGCATACACTGCGGATACATTACCTAGCAAAACAAGATGTGTTTGTGAAACACTAATGCCCCCGTATAGCAGCTTATGGCGAGGGGTGAAATTTCTCAAATACAATTCAACCTCCAAATGTCAAGGTCAAAATTTTTGATACTCATCAGGAAGATTTTGTCAAAAGGAATACATCTGTGAAATATGAAAGCCAAATTTCTTACTTTTCGAAATTTATGGCCAAACAGACAGAAAGACACGGCAAAAACTATGTACTCGAATCTTCGATTACGTGAGCATAAAAAATGATCCGAGTATAAAACAACACTACAAAAGAAAAATAATTTTCCATTTCAAATGTTTGGGTGTTTGGATTTTTTAAAAACGTTTAGAAACTGGTTTAAAAATCAGAATGTTATTAAAATTTTGAATATTTTTCATACATTACGAAGATATACAAAACCGATTTTGGGGAACGTCTCGTCTGACCATAAAACTAATTTACAGTAAGATGCACTTCACAAAACTGCAAAGGCCTGAGAAGAGCAAAGAATTATAACGCAAGAGCACAAAAACAGTAACTGTTTTATATGCTATTTTCTTAAATACTAGTGGTCTTGTTGTTCAAATTCTCATTCGGGGAGGAAGTTCAATTGCCGGAGGAGTCTAGAAAGCTAAACATTGTTAAAAGATTTATGAGAGGCAGGAAACAGAATGAGGAATTCACTACATTAAATTTCTTCATGACAACGTCAAAACCCACAGGCCATGAAGAATAAACAAGTTTTGGTGGTAAATAGAAAGTTAATGTTTTGTCATATCAACAATATTCGCCACATCTTTCAACCTATAACTTGTTTCATTTCCCAAACTTTAAAAAAACATCTTTCGGAAAGAAAAAAACAAATACAGTAAATCTAAGGACCTGCCATGTTCCAGTATACGAAGGGTCATATACTATATAAATGTTGCCTTTTTTAGGGTAACAGTTGAAATTTACACCCCAAGGGAAAACAAATGTCAACCGACGCGTTAACGGAGGTTGACATTGGTTTTCCGAGGGGTGTCAATTTCAACTGTTACCCTCCAAAACAGGCACCATTTATTTTATTACACTGAACGTCTTATTGATTTATAGGATGTCAGAAAAAAAATCGGTGATCGTCTTTCCGTTCACATTTAGAAAGGCTTCAAACTCCCCGCTTCTAAGAAAGCTTCGAAAAAGATTTACCGACCTATTACTTGTTTATTTGATTATCTGATTTTCGTTATTTCTGCAACTTGCTAGCATTTTTGTTGTTTTCCAGTATATACAAGCTTTATTGGCGTCGTTTATTCGGCTTCTTTCAAACGCACAACTGACATGTTATGCGCATGATCTGCATGCATGTGACATTACCGCAATGTGTACACAAGGTCATGTGATCCTCACATCGAAGTGTTAGCTTGATGACGCGACCTCTAAATATAGATTGTCATTACCGCTGCGTTACCCGTTGTCACGTGTGTACTAAGGCTGAGGGTAATAGTACGGCGTTTAACCAATCAGATTTTAGTATTTTACATGAAATTATAATAATCAAAAATGTGTTCTAAATACAATTAAAAATTGAATAAAAAGGTTACGGACATGTGTTTTATTTAAAAGATAATATTTGAGTAAAAATCATTAAGACTAAATCATTTAGAAAAGCGTTTTTTAGTTTCATTTGGAGCACCGATGACATTATTTATTGAACAGCTCTCGTACAATGTATGTACAAACTATGAGTGCTTCAGAACCTTATTAACCTTTTTAACCCCTATTAGTACATATGTATCTCTCACATTGGCCTCTCTTGATGAAGAACATTAATTTTTAATAAGTTAATTTTGTCTCATTTTTTTGATTTATGTATTATTACAGGTCTATCTGATCATTAAACTTCTGAAAGTAGTTTTTTATTATACAAAAGAATTTTTGGCATACTTCTCATTATTCTTTATAAACTTTTCAAATGCAATATTTACAGTTATTTATAGCTAATAAATTAGTCTCTAATAAAATACTACCAAAAATCTAGAGAATTTTAACGTTCAATATCTTGACGTTTTACTGAACGCTAACTTTGTATTACGAATATGAGTATGCCCGAAACATTCCGAATACGAGCGTTCAATATCGAACGCCCCATTGTAAACAAAAAAAGTCGTCTGGTCAAATTCTTAGAGCTAAATTAAAGAAAGAAAGTGGCATCTAGGTAAGATGTGTTTATTTTTCACACAAAAATGAAATTATTTATTAAAATATAGTACGTATTAGTCCCATTAAAACCTAAATAAGCAAGTCATATCGCTCAGTATATAGGGTCATCGGAATGATGCGATATTGAACGCTAACAGGACAGACGTTAATTTGAATAACGATACTGAAAAATCATTAATTTGAGGGTTTTTTATTGGAATAATTATTATATATTATGTGGAAATGTTTTAGCTATATAATAAAGGAGTTATTGAACTTATATTGGTGAATATTGGCACTCGCTGGCTGTTCAAATGCACTCGCAAGCTCGTGCATTTGAACAGCCAACTCGTGCCAATATTCACCAATGTAAGTTCAATAACCCTACATTATTAATTTTCTAAAGTGATTTACAAACGGGAATAACTTCTAATCTTTTAGTAGAATGCAAATTTATAGAGCCCCGGCTAGGATCAGATCACTTGACCAAATGGTCTAGAAGTTTATCTAGTAAAAATGTCCTTGCGTATTGAAACATTTCCTTTGTCTGCTTTTGGTATGCCAAGGAGCAGAGATTTTCAAAGAAATACTAGTAATGCATCTTCACTACAGATTCAACATAACCTTGCCATAACACCAAAACCCATGGCCCAGATTCCTGAATTATACATAACTGAAAGAGATACCATCAACATCATAACTTTATGCACTTAGTTCTGCATTAGTTTTGAAGAATTCACACATTTTCACTATATTATCAATAGAAAGCTCCCCTCCCATGAGAAACAAAGCTCTTCGCTCGGATCCACTAAGTTTTAAAAAATTTATAAGAAGCACCCTTTTCATAATAACTAAGCACTTTGTTTACACTAATGCTTAGACAGGATTATTTAACAGAATAAATGTATTTTTACTACATAATTAATAGAGCCCCGCCCATATACCAAAATCACTGACCCAGAGGCCATGAATTTCAGATTTTTTTCAAATGGAAGAGACAGCTATGCTCATCATAACTATATATTTAATTAGTTTGTTGAAAACCCAGGAGCAGAGAAGAAGATTTTCAAAGAAATAATGCACTTTCACTATATGATAAAGCCCCACTGTTGAAATAACGACCACTATTAAAATAATTATAACAAAAGTGGTTGAGAGTGCATTTCAATAGCAAACATAGTTAGTAACCACTATTGAAATTATTATATCAATTGTGGCTGGGAGTGCATTTCAATAGCAAACATAGTTAGTTACCATTGGACTTTTACGAGGAGCGCTGACTTTTACAGTTGACGCTTACTTTTACACTAGGGCTATGTATGGTAGATCCTTTACGATATAAATATTTAGCTCAACATTTAATTAAACGGAAATAACGGTTATTTCAATGCACATATAAGTTGTCCTTGAAGAAAACGACAACGACCCTACCCTCAGCTCCCGGACTTCACAAGTTAGTGCCCCTAACACCATACCTATGACCACAAGAAAGGTTTTCTTATGCATTATCAATTCTGTACTTCCGTACATGATACAAGTTTAAATGTCCAAGTAAACGTCAACTGTAGAAGTCAGTGCTTCTCGTAAAAGTCCACTACTGAAATACGACCACTTTTAAAATAATTATATCAATAGTGGATGAGAGTGCATTGCAATAGCAAACATAGTTAGTAACCACTACTCACTATTGAAATACGACCACTATTGAAATAATTATATCAATAGTGGTTGAGAGTGAATTTCAATAACAAACATAAATAGTAACCACTATTGAAATACGACCACTATTGAAATAATCATTTCAATAGTGGGTGAGGATGCATTTCTATATAATAACCATAGGTTTCAACCACTATTGAAATTCGAGCACTACTGAAATAATTATTTAATAGTGGGTGAGAATGCATTTCAATATGGTACATTGTAACCATAGGTTTCAACCACTATTAAAACACTACCAGTATTGAAAGAAAAGTTTCACCGCGTCAGCAACTTTTGGAATAATTATTTCAATATATATTGGATTCATTGTTCAATACACCTTTGAAATCAATAATTTAATCCATATTGAAATCTTTATTTCAAAAGTGAACATAATTTCAATTGTTGGTTACTAACTATGTTTGTTATTGAAATGCACTCCCAACCACTATTGAAATAATTATTTCAATAGTGGTCATATTTCAATAGTGGTTATTACCTATACATGTTATTGAAATGCACTCTCAACCTCTAGTGGTCGTTAATTCAATAGTGGTTGCAACACCCCACTCTAACACCAGAACACCTGATCCTGGGGCCATAAATTTCGCAATTTTGGTAGAGGTCTCACTGCTTATTACAATCATGCTTACAGTTTGACTTCTAGATGTCCAGGAGTGAAGAAGAAAATTTTCAAAGATTGCATTTATTCTGGTGGTTTTAGCCCCACCCCTCAGACCCTAGGGGACAGGGTCTCTGAAATTGACAATTTTTGTTCCCCTTTTCCCATAAACTTATATGCCTAAACTAGCTGAAATTGGATAAGCGGTTTCAGAGAAAAATTTGAAAATGTTCAAATGTTAAAGCACGACGAACGACGCTTAACGAATGACGACGGACAAAAACGAATAGTAAAAGTAGTGTTTTCAGATGATAAAACGAAAATGACGTGTCTTTACGACATACTCTGAAAAGTTTTTTTCGGGCTTGTCGGAATTGTCCAAATAATAACTCCGAAGAAAGCTTGATGTCCAAAATCTAAGCATTATAGAAATGATATGAGCAATCTTGTTCTTGTACTTTTATGTTTTGCTAAGACAATTTAAACAAGAGGCCCATCGGCCACATCGCTCACCTAAGCATTGTGGCTAGGAAAAAGAAGAAATTCGTTTATTATTGAAAAGTTTAAATCTAAAAGTAGTCCCATGACCAATCATGGCTTTGATATCCTTGAGGAGATGATTTTTAAAGAATTTGTCAATATATTTCAATGTAAAAATTTGATCGGCCATTTTGGCCCCGCCCCTACCCCCGGGGGTCATAATTTGAACAAACTTGAAACTACACTACCTGAGGATGCTTCCATATCAGTATGATCAATTATGGCTTTGCTTCTCTTGAGAAGAAGATTTTTAAAGAATTTTCCTATATATTTGTGTGTAAAACTTTGATCTGCCAGTTTGGTCCCACCCTACCCCCCAGGGGTCATGATTTTAACAAACTTGAATTTACTCTACCTGAGGATGCCTCCATATAAATATGATCAATGATGGCTTTGCTATTCTTGAGAAGAAGATTTTTAAGGAATTTTCCTATATATTTCTATGTAAAACTTGGATCAGCCACTTTGGCCCCGCCCTACCCCCGGGGTCATGATATGAACAAATTTGAATCTACACTACCCATAGGTTTCAACTTTCCTGGCACAGTGGTTCTTAGGAAGAAGATTTTTTAAAACATGCCATCAAATTTTCACTAATTCCCTATTATTTTCCCTTGAATGAGGGCTTGCCCTTCATTTGAACAAACTTGAATCCCTTTCAACCAAGGATGCTTTGTGGCAAGTTTGGATACAATTGGCCCAGGAGAAGTCGAAAACTTGAAGAGTTTGTAGACAGACAAACAGACGGACCGCTAGACAGCTAGACGGACGCTGGACAAACTGTAATAAGAAAAGCTCACTTCAGCCTTCGGCTCAGGTGAGATAAAAAGTCGGTATCCTGATCTAGACTTAATTTCAGAGCATATATATCTTTTTTTATATGACAAAGCGAAATTGTCAAGTTATCGTATAAGGTATCGTCATCAGTTTTCCCAGATTTCCCGACCGTGAAATAGAGCATGCGTATTCTAGAGTTGCTAGCGCCCGAAAGTGCTGGCAATAAACATTGTGGAAAACACTCCCTCCACCATACAGTTCACATGGATCTGCAACATACTGCTACCATACCTACAAGACAATATATGGTACACGTTTTTACCTAGATCCACTTGTAGCCATGAGTTGCTATTGGATCCCACCCATCCATACCCAGAAGCGCCATATCGTCCGTCAGATTCCAAGTATGAGCTGTACGTTAGGTAACCAGACATCTGGGCATCTGGAATCTTGTTTTTGTCACTGACTCCTAAGGCTTGAGAGGCACAGGCTGTATATATAAAATAAATTCCTAAAAAGTTCCATAAGTTACAAGGACATTGTTTCAGTATTATATAAATAAATTCAAACGCAAGTGTATTGGTGTTATAAAATGAATCTTCCCCCGAGAAAAACTGGCTATAACGAGCCTTCCCCCTGAGCAGCAATGGTACCCCTCTTCCTTATGTTCATTGTTTGGATTAGCTGAACTGTAAGAAAATTCGGTCAGATAAACGAGACAGGTACAGCTCCAAAGCAATGAGAAGCCTTCTTACTGCTACGCATTTTTTCGCCTGCTCCGAATACGTTGCCCCGCATAAACTATCGTACCCGTTAATTTATCATATATATAATGCATTTATTTTGCTTCCTGATACTTTATTTAACTTTCAACAGTTCCAAACAGCCCTATTGGGTTTTGTTATACTAGATAATTACCCGCGCAAGCGCGGGAAATTGAATTTATACATAGAACTTTACCATTTACAACAGGAAATTAAATATATTGTAGTTGGAAGTTGTAGATTTTACTGACAGACTACAGACTTATAGAGGGAAGAAATACTTTGTTCAAAAGTCCGCATGAAAGAAATGTACGTCACCATTCCCACCCACTTTTTGTGAAAACTTGAAAAATAAAAAAAATGCTTTAATTGACGTTTATTTCTTCAAAACTTCATACAATGTTATGGATATTGCACTTCAAATGTTCTTATTACATTTTCATGATGGATAAAAGCAACGAACATACATAAGATACAAATAAATTGATTTTGGGGAGTTGGGGGAGGAGTAAAAATTCACAGGTACTTGGGTCTTGGTTTATAATTATATATGTACCCTTATCGATACGTAAAAAGCCCCCCCCCCCCTTTTTTTCCCCACCAATATTTTTACTTTTGGAAATGTTCAGTGAAAGGCTGGTTGCCCCCCCCCCCCCTTAACTCTTTACAACTTACTGAACTGTTATGCAACATACACTAAATGTTCACGTCATAGAAAAAGATATTTACCATTTCCCCGCAAGCACCTTTTAGCGTGGTACACGTTTCTGTAAAGTTTACCGTAATAATATTATGACGCTATATTTTAATACAAAAAAATAACTTTTCTTCTTTGATAAGATTTTCGCCAAGTTTAAAATAGAAGGTAATTGGTATTAAATTAACAATAAAATTAACTGTTTCAAGTGCGTGAAAATGCGTTATTGCGGGGAAACGGTATATGCGTAATTTTGCGTTAGAGATATATAGGAAATGGTATATGCGTTAAAATGCGTGGGTGCGGGGAAGGGGGTTAATACTACAGGAAATTCATATAAGGGAAATGTAGTGCTGAATACCTAAAATTTGGTTCTGAAAGAAGTTGGCATTGGAGAAAGACTTTTTTTAAGAGAGAAAAGAAACTGAAATGTCTTTATCACAGCACAAAACTTTATAGCTGTAATTACATGTAATTGTATTTGAACAATACTTTATTCCCCCCAAAAAAGTTTTCTGTCTTATTGAACGCAATTAAGTTAATTACAAATTGTACGTCGGGTTCGATACCACGATGTTCTCAGTACGGAAAATACAGTTTTTACCGATAAACTCATAACAAACATATATATATACACTTAGCAAAACTTCTAAGTGTTCACTTTAATAAATGTATTTATTTAAAAACTACTTTATAGAATGGTATGATATTTTCAAATTATTACAACAAATGAGTTTTCTAAACAATTGTAGAAAGAAAATTCAATATCACTGATGAAAACTAATGTTCCGTGACGAAGCTTAAAAACAATAAATCTATACTTTGCGGCACGTGTTTTGTGTAATAAGCATCTTTTTGTGATCATTATCAAATTTTAAAAACTGGTTTCACTAAAAAACACAAAACATTGGCAAAATGACCATTGAGATTGAAGGGAGAGCCGTTGGATTGTTGATATCTGGACCATCTTTGCACCACGTTTTACTCACTTTTATTTTATTGCTTAATTGCACTTGATATTACCTTTAAAAATTATCAAACAGTGTCAAAACCCATTTAAACACATTTTTCTACAGGCTGTGCTCATTTTTCATCACCAATTTATCACAATTTGAAAGTTTTTGACAAAATTTAACCACACCGGAAGTGACCTTGATCTTCTTCTGAGGAGAAAATTTCGCGTCACACTAGGTTAAAAGAGTGTTAAAGTGTCCTGAAAAAATCTTAGAAACATGGAAACAAACCATTTCAATCGTACGAAAATGATAAGAAATCGGTGCTCGAGGTGGTCTTATATCCGCTCAAGCAGTCCGAATTATCCTTAAAGCGGCGCACTTACGTGCTAAACACCTTAGGATATTGACCAAAAGGCCTCTGTGTGATGAATCACTGTCAAATTGCCGGATCTGAATCCCATTGAACACATTTAGGATTTTAAAAGAAAAGTCAAAGCCCCCCCCCCTTTTCCTGACAATTTCAATGGGTTGGAAATATCTATGCAGTACATGTAGGTGTTGCAGCAGATGGGTTAATCTCCTGTTCAGGGGTACATGGTATCCAACAATAAAGATTGTCTTGTAGTAATTAGAGCGAGTAGTTGGTCTTACTCCATCGAGATTTTTTTGTGTGAATTTTCATTTTGAGGGTACATCATTTCCTTGACACTTTACTTAATTTTCTGACGAGATACCTACATGAAATTTACGCAACTTCGAACTTCAATATGCATCAGTAACCAAGAATTAAAGAAATTATTGTTTGCATTTGTTCTTTAAAACTTTAAAAATGTTAGGTGAACACTTAGAAGTTTGGTTCAGTGTATACACTACATACCTATATTTCGATATATGTATTTCCTGTATTAAACTTATTTTCGTTTGTCATTCACTCGTCCTCAACTTTTGATATCTCGCTGTCGGTTTGCCTTGAATTGTAATTGGATAATCTAATCATCCCAGACTTGACCGCCAGTATGAATTGTCTACTTATATATAATCCTTTTATCAATAAATATTAGTGTTTTTCCCGGCAACAATATGTTTCTGGTAAATTCCAAGCATATTTTGCTCGTTTTTACAAAACTATTGTTTTTATTGTATTTTAATTTATATAACATCATTTGTTGTAAAACTATTTAATCAAATAACCCGTTAATTACAATATTTATCATTATTTCTTGATTAAAACAACTTAGCAAAAGGGACGTGATGTTCTAGAAGCTTCCGTCAATATTGAGATCAGTGATTGACGAAAAAAATTTACACTTTTCTCATTTTAACTGGTTACCACAACTTATTTCTTTTATATCAATTAAATCAAGTTATGACTGAAGAATTCAGTGATGACATTTTATGAAATAAATAATAGATTGTTTGTTGTCAGTTTCATTAAAATTTGTCAGTTGCTTAGATCCGCCAACCGGAAACGCCACAATATTCACGTTGATGCTATTTCATGGCTGTTTTCAGAAAATTGAAGTAGACTTTTAATTTTATGTACGATACTTACTATCCGAGTGAAATCTAAATATAGTTTACGGACATCATCTTGTATGTAGTGTAGTATTAGAGGGGTAAGTAAGAACTCTTGTGCACCCGTTTCGGAGTTTATTTGCAAAATTTATTAATTTATAAGTATAGATATGCAAAAAATTCCGCATTCCGACGTCTATGTTGGGTCTTCCTAGAAATATTATCATATTTTTTCTATTTTCTTTTCTCTTTTATAACTCTTTGAAAGTTAGAGGCGTCGATTTCTTGGTAATTCTACCGGAATGTAAATAAGGCAGGTCGATAGGTCAGGAGCTAAGGAGGACCAGTATACATGCAAATCTCGTAAGCATCTGTCTCTATGTCTGACGCTAAGCAGGCCAAATATGCATGTAAATCTCGTGCGGCTTCCTTTGTGCTTGACGTCAGTGGGCGAGGACTATTGAAACTGGCATGGGAGTCTTTGTGTAATTTAAATCGATGACTACAATTAATTTAAAAATCTAAATCTACAATTTCATTTCATAATGAAATAAATATAAGGAATCACTGTATAGTTAGAATAGTGTGCTAGGGACATCAAAGATAGTGGGAACATCGGATAATTTATGCATAACGGGCTTCAAACGGTAGTGGGAAACATGGGATAATTAATGTATGACAGGCTTCGCCCGTTATGCAAATTTCTAGTATCCATGTTTCCCACTATCTAGTGATTCCTTAATTAAATAACATGTAAGCCTGAAACGCAAATAAAGTATCAGGAATAGGAGTTCAAAAAATTGTTAATCAACGGATACCAAGCTTTCAGTGGGATCGCATTTATAAAAGAAAAAATACTTCAAGCGAGCGACAAAATATCGAACGGTGCTTGGGTATGTAGCTCTCTAGGTGGTCTGTCCGAGTATCCTCTACTGAAGAGCTATATTTCTTAAGCTAGTTTTGGTTTTTTTTCCATTTTATTTAGTTTATATTTGTAAACAAATATACTTACATAATTCGCATCTAGGACCTCCATATCCAGGTTTGCACGAACAATTGAACCAACCTTTTGTATCGATGCATGTCCCATCATTTATGCAAGGATTTGTTTGACAATGGTCTTTTACTGTATATATAATTTTAACAGAATAATAATAATCGTTAGTATCCTTCATGTACTATAAATGCATGATATTTTTAAACAAATCTTATTTTTACATTGTATTCTGTCTTTGTAATCAAAACTTTAAATTCATACCAATAGATTCCATTTTAAAAGTCGCATCAGCATATTTTCCATGTTCATCAATAGCACGAACTGTAAATTTGAATATCTCCTCTACATCCGGTACAACACCTGTTATGTGTCCTGTGACGTTGTTTAGGGTTATGCCATTCGGCAGATCACCAGAAATGATCATAAAATGGAGATATGTTCCTTCGGGATCCTTTGTTGAAGAAAAAAAAACTGTGAAGATGAAGTATAGACTTTCTGTGATATACATGTATTTCTTGGTTTGTAGAGTGACCACGGTGAACCACAAGCGCCTGTGCGATGAACTGACATACCTTTTTTAAAACAAGAGGTCCATGGGCCACAATGCTGTTCATCACCAGATTGTCGCCTTTGTGATACTTATTATGGCATTCACCTGATTCCAGGAAGTCATAATTTGAATTATTTAGAATCTACACAACCCCCATCGTCGCAAACCACGGCCAAAATGGACGATCCTCTCTTATTCTGGTCGGAGAGAGCTACATGCGGACTCTGAACCGTGGCTTAAAACGATGCACTAACCCATGTTGCTTCTACATACATTTTAGCTTTTCAAGTAAAGTAGACCTCGAGAAAAGAAATAATGATCACAACCTAATTTTTTCGGTTTGGTCATTCATTTTAACAATTTAAACTCCCCCTTTACCCAAGAATGCTTTGTACCAAGATTGGTTAAAAGTGGTCGAGTGGTTCTTGAGAAGTTGAAAATGAAAAAAAAAATATAGACGGACGGACGACGGACAAGTGTTAATCAGAAAAACTCATAGTGAGCTTTGGTCTCATTAGGTGAGCTAAAATGTTTCCTTTATGCAGATTAATCTGTGCATAAACTCCTAACAATTTCAATATTTACTAAGCGGTAAAAAAAAAAGCTGTATTGTAACGATTGATATGATGATGGACTGATAATTACGTCACGCTTAGGCGCGGGATCAGCTGTATTTGATTTGCCTTCGTTGGTGCTCTTCAGTTACATGTAATCAATTGACCGAGTTCAATTGACAGTGCGGATGACAGAAATGCACAAAAGTAGAGTGTTTATCCCCTCCCCAAGTCCGCCATGAAATAGATGGACATATAGTGTTACCCTGTTCCGTCATCATTCACTTTCCGTTGATTATCTCTGTAACAGTTTCACACATTCAACTCATACTAACTAGTTAGTATCTGAGATATGGAGACGTCAAAGGAAAATGCAGGTCACGTTCAAATTTGGTCGTGGTTCGATACTTTTAGATATATCCCTTTTGAACTTATTTTCAGTTTCACTTTTGTAGGGGTGCATTGTGGCAACGCACTTTGAAAAAATTACGCACTTTGAAAAAAATTTTCAAAGTGCGTTAAAATTGGGACAAAATCAACGTACTTTGAAAAAATTTTTCAAAGTGCGTTAAATTTGGGACCAACTCAACGCATCAATATATTTTACCATGGAGACACATAACGCACTTTGAAAAAAAATCATATTTTAGTCATGGAAAGATTTTATTTGTTATTTATCTTTCAAAAAACTTAGCCTAACCCTAACCTCAAAAATGAATTGATTTACTCCCGTCAAAAGGAGGAGAAGACGGGTATAAGATCCCTCAGTCCAAATCTTTATCTTTCCAATACATAGGTGTCGGTAACAAACGGGGGAGGGGAGCAATAAACCTAAAAAGGGTACGCTGCATTTTCAATGCTTATACCATGTATATATCTTTCCAAAATAAGTGGGGGGCTAAGCCCCCCATCCCCTCCCCTGGTCCTTCGCCCAGTCTCGATGTTTATGCTATTCTCAAAGCATTCATATAATTATGTATTTACCTATCTGGTATGACGTTGAAAACTTCCAATAATAAATGAGTTAATTAAAACAGATTAAAACTAGAAATTTTTAAGTACAGTAAAACGTATGAGAGAGAAAGAATTTTCATATAGTTTTGAACGAGCAAATTGGCCCCTTTTTATTATGATAAATGCTAAGCTGCTTGCAGCTGTCCCCTGTTTGTGCCCCCTATATATACACCTTTACATCTACTTATCAAAGACAAGAATTAAAACAAGAGGCCCAGGGGCCACAGCGCTCACCTGAGCACATCAGACTTGAATTAACTCCACCCCCCCCCTTCTCCAGGCGTTCATCATTTGAACAAACTAGAATCTACACTACCTGAGGATGATTCCATATAAATATCACTAATCTTATCTTTGAAGTACTGAAAAGAAGATTTTAAAAGGTTTCCCTATATATCCCTATGTAAAACTTGGGTCGGCCATTAGCCCCGGGGGTCATGATTTGAACGAACTTGCACTACCTGAGGATGATTCCACATGAGTTTCATCTTTCCTGGCCCAGTGGTTCTTGAGAAGGATTTTTAAAGATATTTCCTACATACTAGTATTCCTATGTAAAACTTGGGTCGGCCATTTTGGCCCCACCCTTGCCCCGGGGGTCATGATTTGAACAAACTTGAATCTACACTACCTGAGGATGATTCCACATGAGTTTCATCTTTCCTGGCCCAGTGGTTCTGGAGAAGAAGATTTTTAAAGATTTTTCTTATATATTCCTATGTAAAACTAGGGTCGGCCGTTTTGGCCCCACCCTTATCCCAGGGGTCATGATTTGAACAAACTTGAATCTACACTACCTGAGGATGATTCCACATGAGTTTCATATTTCCTGGCCTTGTGGTTCAGGAGAAGAAGATTTTTTTAAAGATTTTTCCTATTTATTACATTTTTACCCGTGAAATACTGTAATTTATTCATTGAATAAAAATGATATCCTGTCACAGTGTGAAAGGATATCAAAATGATATCCTGTCACAGTGTGACGAATATCAGAAGTGCGGGAAAACTCTCGAATTCCCTTCCGATAACAAAGATTGCTGTAAAAAAAATCTTCCTTGACCTAATATAAGATAGATGAAAATAAATAAACCACTCTGGCAGCGAATAAAACTGTTAAAAGTACCAAAAATATGTTGCTAAATCCATGTTTACAGTGTTTTCACCTCACATAGCTATGACGTCTCAACCGCTCAACTATGACGTCACGAGCCTATGACTGTATAACAAAAGACAGAGGCAAAGGAAAAATCAAAGAATTCTATTTTCAAAATGTAATAAACAGAAAATTCAATGTTTTGTAGTTGAATATGGAATTTATTTCACTCGTGAGACAGGATTTTTGATATTTTCACTCGTGCTTCGCACTCGTGAAAATATCAAAAATCCTGTCCCACTCGTGAAATAAATTCCACATTCAACTACAAAACATTGAATATCCTCTATATATTCCTATGTAAAACTTTGGTCGGCCATTTTGGCCCCACCTTTGCCCCGGGGGTCATGATTCGAACAAACTTGAATCTACACTACCTGAGGATGATTCCACATGAGTTTCATCTTTCCTGCCCAGTGGTTCTGGAGAAGATTTTTTAAAGATTTTTCCTATATATTCCTATGTAAAACTTGGGTCGGCCATTTTGGCCCCACCCTTGCCTCGGGGGTCATGATTTGAACAAACTTGAATTTACCCTACCTGAGGATGCTTCCACATGAGTTTCATCTTTCCTGGCCCAGCGGTTCTGGAGAAGAAGATTTTTTAAAAATGCCATTAATTTTTAACAAATTCATGATTATCTCCCCTTGGAAAAAAGCGTGGCCCTTCATTTGAACAAACTTGAATCCCCTTCACCCAAGGATACTTTGTGCCAAGTTTGGTTGAAATTGGCCCAGTGGTTCTTGAGAAGAAGATGAAAATGTGAAAAGTTTACGACGACGACAACGACAACAACGACAGACGACGGACAAATTTTGATCAGAAAAGCTCACTTGAGCCTTCGGCTCAGGTGAGCTAAAAAAAAAAAGAAAACTTAAACAATTGTCACTTTTTTTTTAAGACCACTTACTTTTCCTTTTTATTTTATCAAAACCTTAAATATTTAAAACGTCAATATATCAGGTCCTACAGTGACTTTATCATAAAAAAGTTATCAAACCAGGATCTGTTATTTATCATACCGATTATTTGAGGGAATATTGCTGAATCTTTACATTTTTTTCAAAGTGCGTCAATATGGTCGATATTAACGCACTTTGAAAAAAAAATTATTTTTTTGGAAGTGCGTTAGCTTTGTCCTAAATTTTAACGCACTTTGAAAATTTTTTTCAAAGTGCGTAATTTTTCAAAGTGCGTTGTAACAGTGCATGTTTAAGGTTGAAATTGCATAATTATGCGGGTATTTTACCAGAAAATACAGGCCAAGATAGAATTTGGTCATGGTCTGATTTTTTTTAAAGTGATTTCTCTTAAGTAAAATTGTATATATGCAATAAGCCTATTAATATCAACTTACCGTAACATCTAGTTTGATGTTTATTCTTTGCTCACCGGTAAATGTTCCAAAGAAACTCATGTGTGCATGCTTTGTCCAAACAGGAGGTAAGCTTTTTACTACCTATACAAGGTTTTAATAGGAGTTGAAACAGTCTTTGTATATAAACAACCTTGTTAAAACAATTTTACTAAGTAAATCAAAATCATGCAATTGTGCAGTCCTGCATATCTTGTTCAGTGACTTTATTACCTCTATGACTCTCAAAATGTCGTCATTTTCAAAGAAAACTGAACCTCCCGGTCCTGGATTAAGGTACACATCCTTAAGACCGTTACCAGCCTGTAAATTACAAAAATAGGAAGCAATCTTTGTTCGCTTCTTCTTTCCTTAATAATATGTGATCTTGCAAAGCAAACATGCATACCCTATCAACTAGAAAGACAGCAACGGGAATTCATGTGTATGTTGATTAATGGTACCGGTATATGAAAACGAATAAAAGCGTCGCAAGTTCGCATCTATATTGGTATTTTACAAATTAGAGTCGTTAACAAATACCTTATATCTAAATGTATATTATTTACTTATAACTGAATGTTTCCCACGTTTTTGAAGATGTGATATGAATTCGGAATAAGATGACGAAACTCTTAGATCATGGATAGACCATGGATAATAATTTTTAACCTTTTTCAACAAGATAACACATGTACTGTATATACAAGAGAGAACGATTTTAACAAGACAAAATAAATATGTATGAGAATTTAAAAAAAGTAATTATAAAGGACTAGAAATTAGGGTATATTCTTATCCATATAATACAGAACAAAGTTTACAAAAACATTTTTATTGCAAAATTTAAGTTTCTTTCAGCATTGACAGCATAGAAAACAATTATACATTCATGTTATCATACATTGCTGATCAAACCGATGAAAACAAAAAAATTTGAATACTGTGAATAATAATAATAAAAAAATAATAACTGCTTTTTAAATTGGTAAAAAGTCCAAATTTTATTCGAATTTTGGATCTTGCATCCTTCCAAATGAGTACCACTGAGGTACAAATACTTTACTATAATATTCTACCTGTAAGATGATGTCTCCATCGTCAGGTGCGTGAATAGAGAGACTGGGATAATCTATGTCCAAAACACTATAGAAAAAAAATTAAAGATGAAATATTCAAAATTCGTTCATAAAAAGAAAATTTTTTGGTACTTTACAAAAATTACTAACCCATCGTCACATGAAATATTGCCTGTATAAAGTAAGACTATAAGAAGGCCGAACCAGATAGACATTTCGATGGCCTTTTGAAAATGTTTCTTTCCCTCCTGCAAAAGAAATAAGGCGTAAATGAAATTTTGAGTTACTAGACACAAAGTAATGGAGATAAGGAGGATGCATTTTAGATAATTGATAACTTTCATGAAAAATTACTTATTAAGCAAGGACTTGAATTTCACCATCGTCAAGGGGTCGTTTTATAATAGCGTGTTACATAAAACAATCACTGTTAAACATAGACAATCCGTATTCACGCAATGCAGCATTTCATTTTTTCGATCTTTATCCTCCCTGGAATTGCTTACGGAAGGTAAGTGAATGTTACTTAAATATGTAATAAATTGATGGAAATTGAACATATTTATAGATACATATACTAGTAAATATGAGAACAAAGAAGGCATAGTAGTACAGCTGTAATTGTTAAAAATTCTCAAAAATTGGTTTTCAGCTTCTTCCAGATTGACTATCCCAACGTAAATGTTTCGGCTGAGCCCGGTGGAGATCTCACATTTGAGGTAAGTTGTCATATATATGTAGTTCAGACATTTTTAAATATTCAAAATCTGGGTTTAGAATTCATTGTAGTTTATTTACAGGCTGGAGTGGGTGGTAATGTTATTTTGAAACCAGGTTCTGGAGGAACCGTGATCATTGGTGGAACAGACCTCAGAAAATTTATCGAGGTTTGTCCAGTTATTTTACTTGGTTTGTTTGCTTCTGTACAAGATGAAACATAAAAATTATAAGAAAACACTTTGAGTATTACCTTTTTTGAGAAACCTTTTCTTTCGTATAAAACCTGTAAATATTTTTTAGAAAGTGAAAAGTCTTCCCCCGATATGGACGAAACAATCGGTTCATGGGTC